AACTTTGAGCCCCTCAAAAAATGGAGGGATCCCCTCCCAAAAAAACCTTTGCACCCCCCCCCCCCCAAATAAACACCACCCAAAAAAACCACCTCCCTCTAAAAAAAAAAAAAAAAAAAAAAAAGAAAGGACAGAGCCTGCTCCTCTTTTCAGGATGCCAAGGTAAGGCCTGGCAATGGCCCGTGCTGGTTTTCAGCTCCATCCCTTAGTGTGTGAACACCAAGAGAGCTTTTCTACTGCCTGGAACCCCAGTTTGCTCATCTATGAAACAGGCACAGTAGTACCAACTTTGGAAGATTACTGTAAGGTTAAAGACATATAGAGGGCAAAGGTCAATGTGAGTCGATGGTAGCCTACCCGAGGTCTTCTGACTGGTTCCATGAGCTCTTTCCACTGCACTGGCTCGTGGCACAAATGGGTTCCAGATGCCCAGTCAGTGCCAGGTGCTGTGCTAAGTGCTGGGATTCTGTAGCAGGCTAGATGAGGTCCCCTGCCCTCACACCCCATCACATTTGGGGCAGATTTCTCTTCTTCACAAAACAAGCACCTGCTTCTTTGTGGTAGTGCAGAGTAAAGACAAATCTAAAAAGGAAAAATATTGATTTTTCCCTGGTGCAAAAGGAAAAGAGCCTCTCCTTTCCTTTCTTAAAGATCATTTGCTCTAGAAAACTTATAAATTCTTTGTCCTTTTGGAGATGTGCGTAAATATTTTTTAAAAAGCTAAATAGAAAAAAAAAAGGAAAAAAAGTTAAATAGGCCTTTTGCCAGTTCTAACCCAGAAACGTTCTTTCTCAAGGTCCTGGGAGCCATCTCTCTGAAATGTTAACTTTATTTCCGGGAGAACCTGACTTCAAACCCACCTTCTATGGTGCCCATATGAGAATTCTATTGCAGCTTTGGAGAAAGACAATTAGCAAACAAAAACAGCCACTCTAATTACCAGGTAAATTTAGGGTGAACTCTGAGTGAAAAAATGTCTGTCCAGTCCTCTAACTTGAGACCATGATGTAGGTGTCGCACCTTCCTTGTCCATATAAAAGCGCGAGATTTCTTGCTGTCTCTGCAATATCTTTAGGGGACCGCCCTAAACTGTTTTCTTTCTCTTCTGTTCCCTTGGGGAGTTTTTGGGGGGGTCTGGCAGGAGATTTTGTTTTTCTTTATACTTAACCGACAGTAAAAACCAGGCTGGCTGGAGAGCGCTTTGTTACAATTTGGACAACCTGAACGATGAGCATTAGCGCCTCACCTTCCATCCCTGCATTTTCAGCAGGTGCTGTCCCCGCATCTACCTGCCGCAGCGCAGATCCCCCATCCGCGGCTACAGCCGAGTCCCGCATCCCTATTTTTAGCCGCCACAACCCTCGTGGCCAAGTGACAGGCAAGCGGGGCGGTGTCCGAGAGCGCCCGGCCCAGCCCAGCCTCACCGCGCCCCGCCCCTGCCGCGCGCGCCCCGCCCCCGCCCCGCCCCCACGCGCCGGGAGGGAGGAGCCGGGCGCGCAACAGCCGGCGCGCGGAGTCCGAGCCGGTACCCCGCGCCCTGCGGCCGGCGGCGATGAAGATCTGGAGCTCGGAGCACGTGTTCGGGTGAGGTCGGGCGGCGGGCCACGGTGGGGTCCGGACCGGCGCCTGCTCCTGCCCCCGGGGCGGCCGAGGAAAGGCTGGACACCCAGACCGGGCCCTCGCCGAGCCCGCCCAGCCCCGCGCTGGCCGCTCCCAGACCGCGGCCCTGGCATCCTAAAAAGAGGGGGCAGGCTATGTCCTTTCTAGGGCGTCGTTAGGTAGAGAGCCGGCGGAGTGGTGCAGTCTGTCTGATGGAGAGGCCGCCTGACTGACGGAGGCCGGTGGTGGGATTGTCGCAGCTAGGGGGCCGGGGGCGGCCTTTCCCTGGGGGGCTGGCGGAGGGCCGAGGCGCGGGGACGGATCTCAGCCACCCGAATGGGGCCGGACGGCGCGGGCCGGCGAGTGCGCTCGGCGGCGGGGCGCCCTGGTGTACGCGGAGGCCCGGGGGTGGGGGGGACGCGGCGGGGAGGGGGCCCCGGAAAGTGACAGCCCTCTCTCCTCAGCCCACCCAGGAGCAGGCCCGATCTCTCCTGTACCATGCGCTCTTTGGGGCAGGGCGCGCGGCATCCTAGGGAGAACAGGGGCCTGGGGAGCGGGCCCGGTCCTCTGCTGAGATTGTGCTGGCCATTGAACCCAGACACTAAGCTGTGAGCTCGGCAGGAAGCCAAATGTGGAGAAGGCTTGTGGGGGGTCTTTCATCCTGAATGCATTTGTGGGCATGGAAGGCCTCCAAGCCAGCATGGAAAACGGAGAACTGTTTTAAGAGTACCCTCGTGACCTAAATGGTATCTTCTAAGTCACTTTGGTATGTGACACTATACAATTATCCTTTAAGGTTTTTTAAAGGAACAAAGATTTTAAAGATTCCTTGATCCCACTTGGAGAAGCATTTTGTTTTGGGGAAAAAAACAAAACAAAACTGCGTGAAGTGAAATTGTCATCCTTTGGCCTTTTTATGTAAAATTATTACAATAAAACTTTATCGAGTGGTTTAAAACCTCTGAAATTATTTTTAATGAAATCTTTAGACTTTATGGGATTCAGTTTGAGTGTTGATTTTGTATGGTCTGCAGCCTTTCTCAACTGGGCTTCCTTGAGAGATCCGGTAAAAACCCCAGTGAGTATGACTCCAGAGATTCTTTTCTCGATTTTGGAGATAACTGGCACCATCCGAATGCAGAGGGAAGACGTTAAATCATTGAAACTGTGTGCCCAGGCAGTGGGGCTCAGTGTTCTCTCAGAACACCTGAGAAGTCTGCCCTAGAAGTTCATGAAATGTTGATTGACAAGCAGAAGTGAACGGTCAGCTATGGAAAGTCACTGTTGATAAACTTCACCCTCTTAAAGTGTATGACTGAACGATTCTCAGTCAATTTACAGAGTTGTACAACCATCACCATAGTCTGGTTTCAGAGTATTTCCATCATGCTGCAAAGACCCCCTCATTCCCATTCCTAGGCACCCGCCACTCATTCCCAGCCCCAGGCAACCACTAAGCTGCTGTCTCTATAGATTTGCCTTTTCCAGAAATTTCACCTACATGTCATAATACAATATGTGGTCATTTGTGTCTGGCTTCCTTTACTCGGCACATTTTTTTGAGGTTCATTGGTATGGCAGCCTGTATCAGTCCTTCATTCCTTACCTTATTCATTTTGTGTCACTGATACTCTGCCCGTGCCTGACATACAGTAGGTGCTCAGTGAGGGGTTGAGGAATCTCAAGGAAACCGGGTGCCCTTCCAGAATGAGGGCAGCTGTCCACCAAAAGAATCCCAGGGGGCCCCCAAGATGCTGTGGACTAGGTGCTGACCATCTGCCGTTGATTTTTGAACTTCACATTGGCAAACGTGGAATGCAGGTGGCTGAGGATGGTGGTAGGTAGGCCTTTGTGGCAGACAGGTGGCAAGTGAGGTGTTATTCTGTGATGGCAGGCCCTCTGTAGGACAGTATGAAATTGGAAGCCTGGCTTTCTAGCTAGGCTTTATTAATGAGTTTCCCTTTGCTTAGTCCTTAAAATAACTAATCCCCCCTCCCCTTTGGGGATTATAAACCTTTCTTTTCCTTTTTATACTTGTTTACTTTTTATATATTTGTGGTGCTGACAGGTAACTAGTTGATTGGAGTTTCATAAACGTACTCTTGAAAGGCAAGAAATAATCAGGCACAAAAGCTTTGGCATTTATCAATTTTTCCTCTTGTGTCCACATCCTGAAGAAACCCCAGGACCCAGGGGCGCCTGGGTGGCACAGTTGCCTAAGCGCCCAACTCTTGGTTTCAACTCGGGTCATGATCTCAGGGTCATGAGATCGAGCCCCACGTCTGGCTCTGTGCTCATTGCAGAGTCAGCTTGGGAGTCTCCCTCCCTCTCCCTCTTATTCTCTCTCCCTCTCTCTCTAAAACAAACAAATAACTCTTAGAAAGAAAGAGAGAAAGAAAGAAACCCCAGGGTCTGGAGTGGGGCATAGCTGAGAGCAGTATGAACACGGCCATGGAAATGGAGAGCCCTCTGGGAAAACCATCGGAATCAGCATGTGTGTTACCTAGACGGGGTTCAATATAGTTTAAATAGTAATGAAAAATATAGGACTGAAATATAAAAATATAGAAAGGGATGTTAAAAATTAAACAGGTTTATAAATTTCATCCTCACAGCATTGACCAAGGTTTCACGTAGGCCTAGAACAAGATCTTTCCTAACAGCCAACACAAGATTGGCTGGCAACATCAAGGTCATACACTCCCTGGATTCCAGCAGCTACCGGTATCTAAAAGGTGATAACCATCTCAGGGAAGTCAGGAGCTTTGGCGGGGATATGTCCTCCAGCAGGCTTGCTTTCCAGCCAGGAGCAGGGAAAAGGACCTCCCACCATTTCTTTTAAATAAGAGAAATTGAACATTACAGACAAGAGCGCTGTTCCCTTTCTCCCCACAGGCAAGATTATGAACTTGGTGGGTATCCTTCTGAAGGTCTGTCGGACTACCTTTGTGTGTGTGTGTGTGTGTGTGTGTGTGTGTGTGTGTGTGTGTGTGTGTTATTCCATAAGCAGTACATAATGGCATTTGTTGTCTTAAAATGGAAACCAACGGTATCACTTGGTACAGATCTTTTGACCATTTCCCTTTCTTCACACAGTGTGTTTTTGAGATTGTGTGTGTGTGTATCCTATAGTTGCATGATATTCCATTGTATAACTATGTCACAGTTTATCCTTTCTCTTACTGAAGGGATATAACGTTTCCCCCTTTATCCCATATCATACTGCAGTGATCACTCCTGTATACGTTTCCAGTCCCTTTAATCAAGGGCCCACTTAGGCCAGCGATTCTCAAACCCTTCAGCCTCAGGACATCTTAATACTCTTAGAAAATACTGGGTGCCCCAGACAGTTTTTATGTGGGTTCTATCTACCACTATTTACCATATTAGAAATTAAAATGGATACATTTAAACATATTTATCAGTTCATTCAAATTAATAATGATAAACCCACTCCATTCATATAAGTAACATTTTTATTAAAAAACAAACCTGTATTTTCCAAAAGCACAAAAATTAGGTGGAAGAGGGGTGCTGTTTGATTTTCTTTTTTTCTAATTTCTGGCGTAACAGAAGATAGCTTGCTCCTCCTGTCTGCTTCTGCACCAGTGTTTTGCAATCTGTTGTTTTGATTCAAATATACAAATAAAACCCAGCCTCACTCTATGAATAAAACCCGTTTGGTATTTTAATAGCCTTTTAAGTGATTGTGGCTGCTTTAAGTAATTTGCTGCTGTGACAAGACAAGTGGTTTCTGAAGCTCGTTGCAATGGAAGATCTGAAAGCAGAATGACCAGAGTCGTCGGCCTGCCTTGAACATGAGTGGGTCTCTCCCTGTGACATCCCGCACCAGTCACTTGGAACATACGGGTTCATCGGGTTGGCAGTATGGGGCTGTCATCAGGCTCCTGGCAGAGGATCCAAGTTTTCTAAAATTCCAATTTGTGATCAAAAGCTCAAATGTTCTCTTTGGCAGCAAATAACGATCAGTTTTTCTTGAAGGGATAGGCTCCCTGTATTCATCTTGGAGAAAATGCCGGCCACATACCTAAGTCTGAATGAGCAAAGTCCGTCCATCTGTTGTTTCACATAGACGTGGTGGGTTGGGTTGGAGAGCTGCAGCTTGGCTGGGCCCCACCACCCACCAGCTGCCCGGCGCTCCCCCAGCCACTTGATCCTCCAAGTGCAGCCGGTCAGCTTCCTGTGCACCCCGCTCTCTTGCTCAGAGTATTAATGGAGGGGTACTTAGGGGTCTAAATATAAAATTAATAGTCTTGCTATTTCACAATGGATATTTTTAAGAGGCACTGGCATTATTTTCCTGAGTGAACAGCAGTGAGCCTTGACCCCAAGTGTGGTTTGGGGCCAGGGCCTGCATTCATGGGGAGAGGCCCCCAACTTTACCCTCTGTTGCTTTTGCAGCATTTGGGTGAAAGGTCAATATTGTCTAAAAGGCAAGTCATGTCTCAGTAACACTGAGGCAGTTTGGGCCTAGCAGACCTCTGGAAAGGGCCTGGGAATCCTCCAGGTGTGGACCACAGTCTGAAAACCGCTGGTCTGGGCCTAGAGTTGCTTCGGGTGGGTGCAGGAACGCCTTGCCTTGCTTGGGGCAGCCTTCTTTTTTTTTTTTTTTTTTTTTTTAAAGCTTGTTATTATGGAAATTTTAAAAAGTATGCAAAAATGGAGAGCTGAGAATAGTGAGAGCCCACTGCCATCTCCCACGTTGACAATCACCCTCTCAGAGCCCGGCTGGCTTCACGTGTCCCTACCCACCGCTCCCTCCCCCTGGGTTATTTTAGGCAAATCCCAGGCATCCTATGATTTCATCCCACTTCATCTTTCTGACACCCTGGCTGTGCATAGAGAGATGCCTTTGTTACTCCTTTCCACTCCCCAGTGTGCCAGGTGGACTGAATCCCACCACCTCCTGGGCTGCAGGGCCAGGCGCCGCAGGGGCGATGTCTGGTGCTTTTGCAGCAGTGCTGTGCTCCGAGGCAGCCCCCCACCCCCACCCCAGGGATGGATTCCCATTCCATCGTGGTCGGTTGCTGTGAGTCACAGACATAGCCGGGACCACACCTCTCAGAATGAACTTCAGCCAGTTCCTGGCCTGCCTAAGCCAGACACGGGCACACAAGCCCTGACACAAGGGCACCGGCCCTCTTAGCATCTCCCAGGCCTTGAGCCAATTCACCATCCACAGCTCAGTCTCCCCCTTTTTTCCAACACTTGATATTACCAGAGTTTGCCATTTTTGCAATGACTACCAGGGTATTTCCTTTAACCAAGAAGCGTGTGACACTGACTTCCTGTATTTAACCCTCGTTGTTTAAAAAAATGTTACTTCTTGAATCTGTTGTTGTCTATATTAACTTATATGGCCCTCCTGCTGTAATCAGTAGAATTATTTTTTATGTGAGTGTTGTAAGCAGCTTGTATTTAGTTTACATCATCAGCAGAAAGGTGTCAGGTTTCTTATATAAGAAAGATTATTGTGTAAGATACGCTTCATACAAATACTTCAACTTTTTGCTAGTTTTAAGTAATTTTAGGAGGCACAGCCTATTCTGCTTAAAATAGTGATTTTTGTGGGAACAACTCTTAGGACCTTAGACTGCAACGCTTATAGAGTATTTCAGTGAGAAGGCCCCCGTGTAGCTCAGTCCCTTGCTGCTCTCAAGTATGTCCAGCTTCTGCCCCGTTCCCTAGATCATGGATCGACCGTGTCCCTGACAGTTCTTCCTCAGAGAAGAAGGCTGCGCTCTCTGGGTCCTCCCGAGCAGGGAGTGTAACCACATCTCTGCGTCTTCATTGCTCTTTGTTAAAGCCGGTGAACAGGTCAACTCAGTGACACGATTCCATGGTTTGAAAAAGCATTTCTTTGTTTAAAAGAGGAGATTTTAGATCAGGAACATAATGGAAAGAACAGAGGGCAGGGGCCTGGGAGACCCGGTTCTAGAGCAGGCCCTGCCACAAACTTTTTGACAGAGTTTTATAAGGATAAAGTAAATTAATGGTTGGTGACTGATACTTTAAAAGGATGGCAAATACGGAACAAAACCCGTCCATCTGTTCATAATCTTTGATATTTGACTTAGTAACTTCATTTCTAGGAATTAATCATAAAGAAAAATTAGATATGTAAAAGGTCAGTATACACAAATGTTTGCTACTGTCTTTATTTTATAGAGCAAAATTGGGAGCAATCGAAGTAACCTACTACAGGGAACTAGTTCCATATAAATACCTCTAGGATGACCTGTTGTGTAGCTCTTCATAATCAGATTTCTGGAAATAGATTCATGATATAGGAAGATGTTCATCGTCAGTTAAATATGAAAAGCAGGGTCTGAGTATGGTCTGGGCATGATCCCAGTTTAATTTTTGTAAGGTGTGTGCGTGCGTGCGTGGGTGTGCACATGTGTCTAGGTCTTGACTCTGGGCTGTGTCTATACACGCTGTTTAAACTTGACGGGTACAACTGCAAAAATGATGGTGTCGTTGACATACTCTTCTCTCCCGGGGGCTCGGATGCTTCCTGGGAGCACACACATCCTGGGGAAGGAAGAATTAGGGGAAGAAGCACTTGGGGTGGGGGGATCCACACTGAAAACCTAAAGGGGCACCTCTGACTCCCTGTGGACAGCCGTAGGGTTCTGAGCCTACCAAGCACTAAAGAAGCACTGGGCAGTCGTGAACGTGCTTTGGGACCTCTCTGATAGCGGGACACAAAACAGGGACAGAGGTGTCCATCCCCGCACCTCAAGGGCTCAGGGCCAGAGAAAGTGGGGCAATGGCCTGCAGGAGAAGCTTCAGAGAGAGCTGGAACACCTTCGGGGACTCCCACATAACTTGGGGTCATCTCTGGGTAGTGGAATTGTGGATGCTTTTTTTTCATACATATTTTGAACAACTTTTATAATCAGAAAAAAAAATATGTTGGCCACTTCATGTCACATACCACTTCACAGTTGGGGCAAAGTGCAGTCGACCCTTGAATAATGTGGGGGGTTAGGGGCGCTGACCTCCTGTGCAGCTGAAAATTGTATTTTGTTTAAAAATATCCTTTCGGGGACGCCTGGGTGGCTCTGTTGGTTAAGCGTCTGACTTAGGCTCAGGTCATGATCTCAGGGTTCTGGGATCGAGCCCCATGTCAGGCTCCCTGCTCAGCAGAGAGCCTGCTGCTCCCTCTCCCTTTGCCATTCTAGATATAGATATAGATATAGATATAGATATAGATATAGATATATATGTATATTGCCCCTCCCCCTGCTCGTGTTTTCTCTCTCTCAAATGAACAAAATCTTAAAAAAAAAAAAAAAAATCCCCTTTCAGTAAATGGCCCAACTATCCACACAGTTGTTCAAGCCAGAAACCTGGGCATCCTTCTTGAGTTCTCTCTCCTTATTTTCAGGATTAATACATAACTTGTCATCCAAATTGGGATGCCTTTGAAAGTAAAAGGGGATACTCTTAATAGGTACCATAGGACATATAGACTCTTGATAGGAAGTAGTAGTACTTTGAACCTTCGTGATCTCGGACATGAACTCGAGCCTCACGTGGGGTTTTGCACTCACTGGGGAGTCTGCTTGCAATTCTTTCTCTCTCTCTTTCCCTCTGCCCCTCCCACCAGGGTTGCGCTCTCCTCACTCAAATAAATAAAGCTTTAAAAAAAGAGAGAGAAAATCATAAGGAAATACATTCACAGGACTATTCTGTATTTATTGAAAAAAATCCACATATAAGTGGGCCCATGCAGTCAAACCACTGTTGCTCATGGGTCAGCTGGTTCTCAGTAGAGCATCACTAGCTGGGACCAGTAGCCTGTTGTTCTAGATACACATAAGGCAGGCGCCTTACTGTACCGTCATAGCATTGAGCTCCAGGTGTCGAGGTGGTCAGCTAGGTAAAGCAGCCCAACTGGAAGTCACAGCCAAGCCTTCATGCACCACAATAGTGCAGGCAAAGAGGCAAACAAACTCCCGCTCCCCAGTGTTCCGCCCCTACCATGGGAGGGGCAGGTGAGAAGCTGGGGATGGGGAGACATGTCTCTCCACCCTGAAGCCCCAAAGGAAAGGGTGCTACCTCTTTAGGGACTGGGAGAGTGCCAGCGGGTGGGGTGATGGGAGAAGTGGACAGAAAGGTCCTGAGTGGAGGGAGGGAAGTGGCTCAGCCAAGACCCCGGTGCTGGGGTGGCCTGTGAGTGCAGCACCTGGGCTGGGAATGCAGACACACTGAGCACGGCTGCCGACAGCCTGAGACGTCTGTGTCCCCAGTGTCTCATGAGTCCTGCCAGGCAAAGCCTTCGGATGGCCCCTGGTCAGCCCAGAAGGATCACAGCGTCCTGGATCTGGGTGTGGAGCTGGGTGCCTCAGATAGATTGGTTTGACTATACCTTTAATTAAAAACAAAATTTAAAAAACAATGAGAGCATTAACGTTGATCTTCATTTCACTCCATGGGCCATAGCACCCCTGGCGGCCCCGTGCCACTCCGGCTTACAAATGGAGGGGTTGCCTGCTCACTCCGGGTGATGTTTTTCCCACCAGCCACCCATGGGACACCGTCATCAAAGCTGCCATGAGGAAGTACCCGAATCCGATGAACCCCTGTGTCGTGGGAGTTGACGTGCTAGAGCGCAGTGTGGACGGCCGGGGCCGGCTACACAGCCACCGCCTCCTCAGCACCGAGTGGGGGCTGCCCGGCTTCGTGAAAGCGGTGAGCCCGCCACTGTGTGCCCTGGTGACACCCGCGTTGTCCTGCTGCCCCTACCTCGCCTGGTGCGCCCCTGTACCGCAGCTCCCCCCGCCCCCCCGCCCCAGCACCCGCGGCGGCCCGCTCACGCGCTTGCCCAGGCTACACCCGCGTGGCCCGGCTGCACCCTCGTTGCCCAGACCAGGCTCTACCCGCGTCGCCTGCTTGCACCCAGGTTGTCCCCGCTGCACCCGCATCTGCCTGGCAGTCCCCATCCGCAGGAGGTGACAGCCTCTCCTGAGAGCACGCACTCAGGACTTCGGAGAAGCCTGCGAGATCATTTGTTTCTCTGTAAACTTACTTTAGTTTCCATCTCCGGGGTATGTGGCCTGGGTTCCTCACGCTCGGCCCCGGCCCCATCAGCATAGAATCCTTTCTGCAGCGCTTCTCTGCCCTGTGTCCCTCGGGGCCGCCCTAACCAGATACCACAGACTGGCGGGGGGGCTCCAGCAGACATCTGTTTCCTTACAGCTCCGGAAGTTGGAGGTCCAAGATCAAGGTCCTGGCGGGGTTGATTTCCCTGAGGACCTTAGGGGAGGGGTCCGGTCCAGCCTCTCTCCTTGGCTGGCAGCTGCTGCCCTCTTGCTGTGTCTGTGGGTGGTGGTGCTTTGCCTCACGCAGCCCTGCTGTCTCCCTCTGTGTGTCCTAATCTCTCCTTCCTATGAGGACACTGCTCAGACTAGGGTAGAGTCCACCCTAATGACCCCCATTTCAACTCAATTACCTCTCCAAAGGCCCTATTTCCAAATACACTCACATTCCGAGATGTCGGGGGTCAGGAGGTCAAAATATGAACTTTGGGGGACACAGTCGGTTCCTGACAAGTCTCTTCTGCAGAACCATCAAGGGAGGTCATTGAAAATGTAAATCCAAGCACGATTTCCTCCTGCCCGACCTGACCCCTGCTCTCTTCTCAACACAGATTCCCAGCCCTGATTTGGGCCCAATAGCCCAGTGAGCCCACCTTCTCCCTCCCCTGCCATGCCGGGCTCTCTCCGTGCTGGGAGCTCAGCACATGGGTCAGAGCCCAGGAGGCGTCATCTGCAGTCAAGCCTGCTGACCCCAGGACCCTGCCTGGTGCCTCTCCCTCTGTGGTTCCGCCACCCCGCAGAGAGGCTTCCCTACACTTCCTGCTCCTCGCCGTTTTCTCTTCTGTGAAGGCATTTATTACTGTCCCACATTCACCTCTACCTGAATCCATTCATTGGACCCATGCTGGCCTCCACTGCTGGGACAGAGGTACCCAAGGAGCTGTGCGGGGCTGTCCATGGCTGCGTCCCCAGTTGCATCTTTTGTTGAATAGATAAAGGACTTAATTAGTAAATGAAATTCGTGTTTGATGCTACAGAATGAAACTTTTGACATGTCACTATGCTAGCTTTGCTTTGTTTTTTAGATTTTGGGGACCAGTAGGACTTTGACATACATCAAAGAACATTCTGTTGTGGATCCAGTAGAGAAGAAAATGGAACTCTGTTCCACCAATGTAAGCAATGGCCTAAGATGCGAAAGGTGCTTGTTTTTCCTGGGGATGGTGGGTAATGTCTTCATTTAGTTTTTTTTTCCAGCCCACCTTTGGTCTAAGGGAATCTTTTATTTTTTATTATTTTTTAAAAGATTTATGTATTTATTTATTTGACAGAGATCACAAGTAGGCAGAGAGGCAGGCAGAGAGAGAGGAGGAAGCAGGCTCTCCACAGAGCAGAGAGCCCAATGCAGGGCTCGATCCGAGGACCCTGGGATCATGACCTGAGCCGAAGGCAGAGGCTTTAACCCACTGAGCCACCCAGGCGCCCCGGGAATCTTACACTTTTAATGGAAAGGCTGAACTTATTTAGCAGTATTTTATTTACCTTTTTATTTCAGTATAATAAATGTGTAGAAAAAAATGCACATAATGAATTGTCACAAAGTGAACACACCTTTTTAACCAGCAGACAGATCAGAGACAGGGTGTGACCAGCCCCTAGGAGCTCCCCTTGCACTCCCTTTTGGGGGGCACCTCCACTCCAACCTCAATATAACCACTATCCTGACTTCTAACAGCAGAGGTGATTTTTAACAGTAATTTTATTTTATGTTATTTTATCTTATTTTCTAACAGTCATTTTTTTAAATCATGTTTTTTTTTAATTTATTTTTTATTTTTTTTGTGAACATATAATGTATTTTTATCCCCAGGGGTACAGGTCTGTAAATCACCAGGTTTACACACTTCACAGCACTCATCATAGCACATACCCTCCCCAGTGTCCATAACCCCACCCCCCCTCTTCCGACCCCCCCTCTCCCCAGCAACCCTCAGTTTGTTTTGTGAGATTAAGAGTCACTTATGGTTTGTCTCCCTCCCGATCCCATCTTGTTTCATTTATTCTTCTCCTACCCCCCTTAACCCCCAACGTTGCATCTCCACTTCTAACGGTAATTTTAAAAGCACCTTTTCCCCTTCACTCCTCTCTCATTCAAAAAATTTGTATCAGCCAACTGCACATCCAAAAAATATGTTGGGGGAAAATGCATGGGCTAGAAACATGGTTTATTTTTATAAAATCCTATTCTATAAAAATGCTCTCAGCAGCTTTGTGCTCATTTACCTGGAGGCCAACCCAGAAGGATTTTGTTTTTGTACGACTGCTGTTGGTTTGGCGGTTTGAAAGGGCCTTGAAGGCCAGGCCGGACTTCGGTTTGGGTGTGGAGGACAGGTGACGGTCGCCAGAAGGCGCAGCCAGGACTTCAGGTTTCCCTGGGACTTAAGGTGGTGTACCCCTGCCTCCGCGGGGCAGGGGGTGGCTGGATGTTTCTTCTGTTCTGGTTTCAGTGAGTTGATTTGGGGATGGAGGGGTATGGGCAGATGGTCTGGGAAGAAATGCAAGAGAAATAGAACCTAAAGCCATTTTTTGTTTCAAGATCACACTCACAAACCTGGTGTCGGTGAATGAGAGGCTGGTGTACACGCCCCATCCGGAAGACCCCGAAATGTAAGCCTCTGCGTCCTGGGATTGACACGTTGAACTCCAAGGTCTGGGTGGACCAGGGCCTCCCCTCTGTGAGGGCCACGCAGCCTGCTTACTTGCTGCTCTTGTTTAGGACGGTGCTCACACAAGAAGCCATCATCACCGTGAAGGGGATCAGCCTGGGCAGCTATCTGGAAAGTCTGATGGCCAATACCATATCATCCAATGCAAAGAAGGTACGACGCTCAGGCCCGGCCCCGTGCACACTCCGGGTGCTAAGTGCCAGATTAAGGGGTTGAAATGTGTCGTCCTGTAAGTCCTACCCAGTGCTGCAGCCCTTGGTCGCCAACGAGCCTGGGATATCACCGCATTTTCCACGGTTACATTCAAAACCTGCAGCAGGGAAGGCTGGCCCAGGCCTGGGGGGTGGGGGAAGTGTCAGGTGAACGTGGAACGGAAACCCAGCGGAGGGAACTACCGCCTCAAAGAGCTGAAACAGCACAGGCTCAGTGCCCAGGACAAACCCTACATGTGAAGCTGGTCAGGCAGGCTCTTCAGGCGCTGTCCTTTCCCACTGAGTAGGCACTGAGGGGCCTTGGCTGAGCCTCCCATCCGCCAAGCTCCCCTGGACTTAGCCGCTGTCTCTGTGCCTCCCCTCTGTCGGGAGTAAGCTTTGTGGAGGTGACAGGAGAAGGGTTGGATCCCAGGAGGCCATCCTCCCCACGTCCCTAGCTGGAGGACTGCCTGAGTGAGGCAGACGCTGCTTACAGAGTCCGGGTTGCCCTCCTCCCCAGCAGAGCCGATGGAAGGGGCTTGGAAGCTGTGGAAGCCGTTCCACAAGTTCAAGGTAACATCACTGGCCAGAGCAAGGCCTTTGGATCTCACCTGAGCTTCCCTCCCAGGCTGATGTCTTCCCAGCTGTCCTCTCCTTCCCTCTTCTCTCCTGGTTTATTTTGATCAGAAGTAAGTCTCCGTTCTGGGGACCAGTGGGATGCCTACCATGCCTGTCACGATTTAACGGGAAAACTACTGACAGTTTGCCTTTAGCCTCGGCACTGAGAGAAGAGCTGGCCTGCCCTGTTTTCAAGAAAAATCCAAATTTGAGCAATGTTGGCAGTCTCTCAGCTCAGTTTGGGGGAGGCAGGGGAAGACAGCTGCCTGCCTCGTGTCCACACTTTGAGCCCTCTTGGGAGGAGACAGAACCTCACTCACTTTTGTGTGTCCAGGGTCTGCCTAGGGCAGGTGCCCAAAATGTTTTGCTGGAAAAGTAAATTACAGGAGGCAGGGACTACTTGGCGAGGCCAAAGCCACCCCGAGGCCTCTTATGAAAAAAGTCAGGGGAAACTCAGCGGGGCCAAATGAAAAGTCTTTTATTTCACTTCATGTTAGAAGTTGCTGTGTTGAAGCCCTGCCAGACAATCACTTCCTCCCCTGTGGCTGTGTTCCCATTCGACAGCACCCCCAGGAGAAGGGGGAGAAGGGGGAGCGGGTCATCCGGGGATTTGGGTGGGATGAACCTGTGAGGAGGCTGCGAGGTCGCCCCCTAGTCCAGCACTCAGGAGGGAACAGTGCCGCTGATGGGTGCCCTTGTGGGGACAGCCCGAGCCAGTGTGAGGATTTCGGGTAGAATACGTACTACCCGATTTCTGAGCTTGTGAAACTGCCCACTGCGGTGAAAGTTGTTCGGGAACTGTGACAACTGTGTCTCCTTTAAAACCGTAGCACTTTCCTGGTGCCATTTCAAACACAGGCCGAGACCTGCTGTCTGCTGGGAGAGAAGCCGCATTTCTTACACCGTGTTGAACTCTTTCTGTGTTGCTCCAGGGGTGGGCTGCTATTGAGTGGATAATTGAGAATTCTGAGCACGCCGTGAGCTAACGGGGTCTGCACCTGCACCCTATGACCAACAGTGGTAACTATAGTGCTCTTTAACCCCGTAGAGAATTTAGCTTCTTGCTAACAACCGTGTGCATGGTGTCTGGCGCTGGGTGTTCCGAGGTCTAGCTGCATGTGTCTCCAGCCCCCGGCTCCTTAGTATCTTCTGAAATGGAAACGGCCATTAGTTCATCCTCTTCCTAATTCATCTCCTTGTTTCACGGCAGGATTTGTTTCCCAGGGAGACTTGGGTATCCAGATTTGTTATCTGGTCTCTAAGAGAGGCAGTCCAGCTTCTCCCAGGCTGTTCTCAGCACCTGCTTGCTTAAGCGTTTCCTAGAATTACTGCAGCATCAGGAAAGAGGCTGTCGCGCATAGTCCCAGACCGATCTGATGGGAGGAATTTTTCGTTTTGGGCAGGATCTGAATATTTGCACATGTTCTTACAAAGAATGCCCTGTGGCCTTGCATCAGCGCCAGCACCCAGCCACATGACTGCTACCGGCTCTTTTCTTTTAGTGGCAGAAGCAATTTCTAGCATCTTCTTGAGCTTTGCAAACATTCCTTGGTTTCCCAGGCCACCAGTGGCTGGACTGTCAGAAAGGGATTTGACGCTTAATTGGTCAGCAGTCATCTTCACACTTCATAGGAAAGTCAGAGCGTTTCCTGCTTCCCTCTGTTTAGGGAATCCTTATACTCCTGCCTTGAAACCCTCACCCTGTTGACCTTCCATACTGGGCTGCTCTGGGCTCCGCTTCCCACAGTTGGTCTGTCTCTCTGTCTGCAGCATGTGTGTACACACGCCGTGCCTCAGTCAGCAAACAGGAGCCGTGTGTTTCAGGCTCCTTTAAGAACTTCCTGCTGAAGCTTAAGTTGGCCAGAGACCTTCACCTTGAACCCAAGGTCATGATCTGCTGCTGGCTCTCTCTTCTTCTGTGGAGGCACCACTAAGGTGACTGCACGTAGAGAGCCAGCCTGGTGAGCATAGTGTGTGTGGGCAGTGTGGCGTGTATGCTATGTCCCTCAGAGCTGTGGACTCTGTCACATTCTGTTTCCTCACAAACTAGAGCTAAACTGCCTCAATCTTTAATCAGATGCCTCATCCAAAAAATCAAAGAAGAAAGAAGGAAAGAACAAGAGGAAAAAAGGAAGGAAGAAGGAAAGGTAGAAATAAGTGGGCCTTGAGTATGGTTCGCCCTGTCTGGGAGAGGTGTGGAATCTGCTGGAATCTGCCACTTGCCTAGTCACAGCCTCCACTGGGCTCTTTGGCTGTGACCTCTCAAGACAAGAGGCCCGTCTGTTGCAGACTGAGACCCAAAGAAGGGAAGACCGCTAGCAGGAGGAGGATGAGGGCCACAAAGCTGCCACGCCACTGCTGCCACAGGCCAGCTGCCCCCTGGGCCGGTGTTGTTAGACTGCTCTTATGCCTTGTCTGTCTTCCTCTGGACAGCAGCATTTAGCAATTTTCTGCTGATCCTTGGGAGCTTACCAAACAACTTTGTTCTTTCCTGATGACCCCCTGTTTCCCTCGCACGCCCCTGGGCCAACTGTCTGCACTATCAGTCTCTTCACACATATTTGGCCATCGTCTGTCACGTCAGAGGCTGCCGCCGTGCATCCTTCTCACCACTGTTAGGGCAGGTCTGCACATGCCGGAATAGGGGCGTCCACCCCCACAGTGACACGTGTGGTGACAGCACTGTGAGCTCTCCCATCACATGGTTGGCATTGGTCAAGAGAGCAAAGTGCCCTGCCCTCAGGCTGTGGCTGGCTTGTCCTGGGCTCTGGGACCAGTGACCCCCTGGGGCTGAAGCCTTATGTTACTTGTCACCATCCAGACACGTCCATGGGGAGGCTTATGCATAGGGGCCACTGAGATGGGATGGTGGCAAAAGTGCCTGTGAGCTCGAGGTGTCCTGTTAGCTTTACGGTACTTCCAGATGGGAATTTTAACTTTCCCATTTTCACAAGCAGAATGCAAAATCTTTCCATCTGCTTTGAATTCTAAAAACTTTAGAGAAGGCCTTCTCCATTAAGGATGAGTAGAACTGTGTTCTACCATTTTTTTTTAAGATAGTGTTTTTGTTTGATAATAGTATTTCTAATCCAAAATGAAATGATATTCACTGCTATTTTCATCCAAATATTTTATGCTTATAGCTCCTGGTAAAAAGGAGTTAAAAGATTTATGGTAAGATCACCCTCCCCCCTTACTCGCTCTGCAAAGCTCATTTCTGCCCTTCTGAGGGGACACTCAACTCTTTTGGTAGCTTTTGGCTTTTACCGCTAGATTTCTAAATAAGTAAACATATTCTGCTATTTCTTGATTTGTCAATTTTATTTTATTTTATTGAATATTTTATTTATTTATTTGACAGAGAGAGAGCACAAGCAGGGGGAAACACAGGCAGAGGCAGAGGCAGAGGCAGAGGGAGAAGCAGACTCCCCGCTGAGCGGGGAACCTGACATAGGGCTTTATCCCAGGACCCTGGACCATGACCTGACCCAAAGGCAGACACTTAACCAGGAGCCCCTTGATTTGCCAATTTTAGATATTATATAGATATTATTTCCCTGTTTGGTAAAGTATTATTTTATCTCTCTTATCTCTTTCTCTCTGCTCCCATTCCCTCAAAATATCTACATTGTTTATGGTTGAAAGCACATTCAGAGTTTCCATAATTCTGACAATACAAATGCATAGCTATTGCTTATTACCAAGCCATAATTGCATTTTCTTTCTTATACAACTTTTCCCCTCTTGCTGATAATAATAATTGTCTTATTCTTTTCATGTATTTAGTTTTATTTTTTAAAGATCTCTGGCTGAGTCCTTCCATACTCTTACTTGCTCTCTGCAGTACCTCGTGATGTCATCTTCCACAGGTCAGTCTTTTTGGGCAGCCCACCCTCTCCCAGTTTCTCTGGCACCATCCTTTCTGGAAGGCAGGCCTTACTCTCTGACCAAGCAGCCATGTGGCTGTCATCCCTTTCCCTGGGAATTTCTGGACATTTCCTTGACATTTCCTCTTCTGAAACTCTTGTTTCCTTGCTTCCCTGCCTTCCCTTTTCTCTTCCCTGTCATAGGATAGAAAACAACATCTCATCATGGCTTCTAAGACTTGGCATATCTGAAAATGTCTCTTCTATTCTCACACTTCGTTCATGGCATAGTTGGACATATAATTCTTTAAAAAAAAAATTCCACTCAGAATTTTGAAGGCATTGTTCTGTTGTTTTCCACTTAGATTATTGATCCCTGTATGTGACTTTTTTCTCTCTCTGAAAGCTATTAGGATCTCTTTATCTTTGATGTTGTGAAATTTCATGCAGTTAAGCCTTGTTAGTGTTTCTTTAGCATTACTTACTTTAAAGATAAATAGATTAAACAAACCAGTTAAAGGATAGAGTTTGGGAGAATAGATGAAAAAGAGATGATCCTACTATATATGCTGTCTACCAGAGACTCCCTTTAGATCCAAAGATACAAATGGGTTGAATGTGAGAGGATGAAAAAAGATATTCCATGTAAAGAATAACTAAGAGAGCGGGGGTGGCCATACTAATATCAGACAACATCTACTTTTGATCAAAAATTGTTACAAGAGACAAACAAGGACATTATACATCAATGAGAGGGTCAATTCATCAAGATGACAAAAGTTATAACCATTTACACACCAAGTGACAGTGCCCCCAAATATATAAAGCAAACATTAGCAGAACAAAAGGAGAAAGACAATTCTACAATAATAGCTGGAGACTTCAATGATCCACTTTCAACAATGGATAGGACATCTAGACAGAAGATCAGTAAGGAAATGGAGGACAAGAACAACACCATAAACCACTTGACTTAACAGACATCCATAGAACACTTCATCCAACAGCAGAATACACTTTTTTCTCAAGATCACCTGGGTTATTCTCCAGGATAAACCACGTGTTAGGCCAAACACCAAGTCTCGATACATTTAAGAAGACTGAAATCATACCAAGTATCTTTCGTTATCCCAAGGAAGTGAAATTAGAAATCAACAGTATAAGATAAATGGAAAATTCAAAAATATGTGGAATTTTTAAATTATGTTTCTAACAACAAATTAATTTGTTAAAGAAGAAATGATAAATGAACTTATAACATTTTGAGGTGAATGAACGTGAAAACACAACATATGAAGACTTATGGGATTCAGTGATCAGAGGGAAATTCATAGTTGCAAATACCTACATTAAAAAAGAGAAAAGAGGGGATGCCTGGGTGGCTCAGTGGGTTAAAGCCTCTATCTTCAGCTCAGGTCATGATCCCAGAGTCCTGGGATTGAGTCCCGCATCGGGCTCTCTGCTCAGCGGGGAGCCTGCTTCCCTCCATCTCTCTCTCTGCCTGCCTCTCTGCCTACTTGTGATCTCTGTCTGTCAAATAAATAAATAAAATTTAAAAAAAAAACTTAAAAAAAAAAGAGAAAATTTCTCAAATCGTTAACCTGACCTGAAGGACCTAGAAAATGAAGAACAAACTAAACCCACGGCTCACAGAAGGAAAGAAATGAAAAAGATTAGAGACGAAATCAACAGAGAATAAAAAAAGAATATTGAAATCAAAGTGGTTACATTGAAAAGGTCAACAAAGTTCATAAACTTTTAGACTGACCAAGAATAAAAAGAGGATTACCAAAATGAATATATCAGAAATGAAAGTGAGGCATTACTGCAAATCTTACAGAAATAAAAAGATATAAGAGAATACTGTGAACAACCATAAAACAAATTAGATGACCTATATGTGACAAACTACTAGAAACACATGAATGACCAAGATTGATTTAAGAAGAAATGGACTCTCAACAGGTCTATGACAGTTAAAGACACAGAATCAATAATTGAAAGCCAAAGCCTTGCCGAGGGCAGCATAGGAAGAGCACCCTGCAGTTTGGTGGGATGCCCAGGCAGATGGGCTGAGGGCAGGCATCTGGCCAGACTGCGGATACTGCCCAGTAGTGGCTCCAGACCCACAGCAGGCAAAGGGAGCCATTGCAGATGATTGAACTGAAGGCAAATGCAAATGCATCTCAAGGACAACAGTAGGACACACACAGCCCACACAGGAGACATCCCAGAATTGCCTGGTTCCGGGGAACAGGAAGCATTGTGCTGGATGACAACACAGTCCTCTTCTTCCTAAGGCCCCTACTTTAAAGATCGAGAGACGTAGCAGACTTTCCTACCCCTAGAAGCAAACACAGGCAATATGAGGAGGCAGAGGAATATGTCCCAAATCAAGAACAGGACACAATCACAGCACAAGGGCTAAATAAATGGAGATAAGCGATATGTCTGATAAATAATTCAAAATGGTGGACATAAAGATACTCACTGGACTTGAGGAGAGGGTGGAGAATCTCAGGGCGACCCTCAACAAAGAGACTGGAAAAAAAAGCAGCTAAAGATGAAGAACTCAGTAACTGAGATAATAAGTGCACTAGAGGGGAGTCCACAGCAGATTAGAGGAGGCAGAAGACAGTAGGCTGGCTATAATCAACTAAATGGGAAACAAGCATTGGCAAAGATACGGAGAAATTGGAACCTTTGATCATACTGATGCAAATGTAACATGGTACAGCAACTCCACCCCTACTTTTATACACAAAAGGATTGAAAACAAGTACACAAATTCTTGTACACGGATGTTCACAGTAGCACTACTCACAAAAGCCAAAAGGTAGAAACTCAAGTGTCCTTCTGCTGATAAATGGATAAAAAAAAAGTGGTCCATATAGACACTGGAATATTATTCAGCCATAAAAAGAATGAAGTACGGATACACACTACAACATGCGTGAATTGCTAAGACATTATGCAAAATAAAAGAACCCAGACATGAAAAGACCACTTATTGTATGATTCCAAGTATGCGCGGTGTCTATAATGGACAGTCCATATAGACGGAGAGCAAGCTGGTTGTTGCCAAGAGGAGAGGGGAGGGATGAATGGGGGAGAATTTGGGGAGATTTCCTGGACTTTATCTTCCAATAACTTCACTCATTTTTATTTGAGCAACTGTACTTTTAATTTCTTGTTCTCTCCTGTTCCTTATGGCGTCCTCTTCTTGCCTCACAGTTGTAGTATCTTCCCTCCTCTCTCTGCAGAAGTAGATGTGAAGAGAAGCCTTCTGCAGCCTCTGGGTGTCTCCTCCGTGCCCCTTCGCATGGGAGACTGCCCCAGCTGTCTTTCTTCCTGACATACCTGACACACAAGCCGAGGCTGGTGGGGAGTGAGGTCCCGGCTGAAGACGACGGCTAGGCTTCACTGCAGGGTGACAATGGAGGTTGTCCTTGGCTTTTTCCTTGACAGCCAATGACCTTTTCTCTGGAGTGGTTCCATTTCTTCCAACAAGACTTCTCAACCTCTGGGGGCAGGGGCAGCCGGGGTCTAAGAGCCAGGCTCCCCTGCGGTTCCCTCCCATGTGTCCCCTCTCTCTGGACACCTCCAGGCTCTGAATGGGCTTGTGTCAGAACCCCCTCCACCGCCTCACAGCCTGCACCTCTGCTTTCCACCTTCTTGTGGTGGCCCAGTGATGATGCTGACTCCGTGGTTTCTGAATTTTGTTTCTGTTGTATTCCTGATGGTTTTGTGGACAAAAGGCCAAAGGTTTTTCCCCACCATCTTGAAATCAAAGTTCTGTTGGCTTTTATAAACAATATTCTTTCCAAAAATACATAAAAGCAGTCCAGTTTTATGGTTAAAAAAAAAAAAAACACCCAACAGCACAGGACTCTGTTGAAGAGTAAAAAGCTCCTCCTTCAAGGGAGGAGAGCCTGGCATCTGCCATTTAATTCCTGATTTTTACAGAGGCTTCCAGAAGTATTTTATGCAAATGCAAGTTATGTATTTTTTCTTTTCTTTTATTAAACACAGACAGAACTGTACTGTATATACTCTTTTGTGCCTGTCTTTTTTCTCTTTCTAAGCAACATCACCTGAAAAACTTTCCTCTTGAGATTTAGCTGTGTAGCACTGAAGTCTTAATTCCTCCGGGATCTGGGGGCTCCTTGTAGATCAGCCCTGGATTTACAAAGGCAGTGGGTGCAGGGCAGAACGCCTGTCATTCTGCAAACCGCACTCTGCCCCCACAAGCGACCTTGACACTGAACCCTTTCTTTCCCGACAGCCTCACCGTTGCACTACTAGGTAGCTCTGTTCCTCCTCGCGGAGGTCGTGGTCTAAAAACTGTCCTGGAGGGGGTTCTGTTCTAGAGGGGAACCCGGAAATTTGTGATTTGGGAAAGCACATTGTGAAGCAGGGCAAAGAGTGATCAGGAAAGGTAGATTGTCTTGACTCCTCGAAATGGCTAGCGTGTGCAGGGGACCCCCCCAGTGTCGTTCGGGAGGAAGACTGCATCTTTAGGGCAAGGGTATGTAAATGTTAGTTACTCAGCCACTTCCAGGCTTTGGTGGGTTGAGAGTGTCCGCCAAATAAGCATACACACCTGTCGGATTTTTCATTCTCCTCTACCTTCCCTTATAAATAAAAAACAAAACAAAACAAAAACAACAAAAAACGTTCAGATAGTCAAGACTGTGGTAGTGGTTATTTTCAGAGTTCTTTAGTATGAAATAGTTTGGCTGTATAACTTTGATTTTGGCGTGGGGGTGGATTCTGGATTGATTTGTGCGGCTCTGTTTGGAACTCAGCACAAAAACAAAGGTTGTATGATAGCGTATCACGCAAGCTGGGTGGCAGAACCTTGGGAAATTAAACCTCGCTTTTGAATTTGAGAAAATAGGTGAAAGGTCACCTTTAATCATACAGTGTTGCTTCACAACAAATAATCTCTCCACGCGGCTGTTGCGTTCCTGTTCTGTAGGTTCCCCCAGCCCTCCAAAGGGCCTCATTTCCTGGGACGCCCTCTCTGGCAGGAGCTTTTGAAGAGAAGCGCGATGGGACCCTAACATGGTGGCCTTCGTCGCAGCGGACAGGTGCGCGCACCCCTGGGAGGTCCTCAATGCTGTTCTCTCGGCAGGGTCGCGAGGCCTTGGAGTGGGTGATCGGCCGACTTAACACGGAGTTGGAGGGCCTGGCAGCCCCCGCCTGCGCCAGAGCGTGAAGCCCCCGCGGCGCCCAGGACCGGAGAAGCAGGCCCAGCAGCAGGTGCAAGGCGATCACCATCTCCCCCCACCCCCTTGCACCCCACCCCCTCCTCCCAACAGGGGACTGTGCGCTTGCTCCACACCTGATCTGTCGGAGGGAGCCTCCGTGATTAGTGCATGCCTAGAGCAGTTAGAAAAGGGACTCTGGCAAAGGAAGCAGATTTGCCACATCTTGGCTTATAGCTTACCTTCACCTTCATCTTCACTTTTTTTTTTTTTTTTTGGATGGAAAGTTTTGTTTAATAAACAAGAAATTAAATCTCTAATATCCTTTCCCCAGAAGCCAAAATATCAGAGTGTGAAAGGGAATGGCTTTCTCCCAGCGTTCACATAGAAGTTTCTCCGGGGCTTTGATCCTGAGTTTGCGGCGATCACAGATGCCCGAGAGTCCGGTCTGCCGTGTGCACCCCGCACCGCGCGCGGGCTGCCGTTTGCTGACATTCCGCAGGTGGAACGCTGTTCTGCGTACGCGCTGACTCTACTGACCAGACTTTATCTTCTGCTGACCACAGACCTTAGATTTAACTTAAGATATGGGTTTTTAATTATATGCATTACATAAAGCATCCCTGTTCCCTTTTAGTTTCTGAACATGAAATAGGGTACTTTTTTCCTTATTGATGTTTTAACTAAACCAACCGGTTTCATTTTTAGAAGAGAAAGGACTATCGGGAGAAACTAGTTATTTTGATGATGTCATATTACTCACTTTATTTTATTGCCCAAGCATAGAAATAAATCCAGAATCCTGCTGCCTTTCCTCCGTTTCCAGTGGTATATCCCTGTTACTGTGGCCCTTGAGTTCGGTAGGAATAAATCTGAACACACTCGTTACTATGTCCACTCTTCAGCTACAGCAGAAGTTCCTGGGATGCTGTTTCCTCTGGAAGTTGGACTTTCTAGAGCACTGTGGGCACACAGGCCAACCTATGGTGTTTGCATTGGTCCTGCCTTCTGGTTAAGTAGCTGGTTCTAGAAGGTTCCTCCAGAAGCAGAGCCAGGTGCTCTCTGGAAACAGTTTCCCTCTTTGTAGAAGAGTGCTTGTCCTACATATTCTTTGAAGACTGTTCCGCCCATTTGGCATTAGAACCAACGATTAAAACTGTATCTGATTTGAGCCGGTGGTTTTTTGGCTCCTAAAGAGTAGATGCCTGCTTGCCTCCGGCGTTTCTGTGCTCACATTAAGGAAGGGTTAGGCATGCTTTGATATAGGAGTTAATTGCTGGGTGTCTCTGTTGTGAACTTCATCTTTTCCCCCCAGAAGGGTCTTCCCTAGCAGCTCTCACCTTATGGCCGAGCCTTAGGGAATGCCGGGCGTGTTTAGAACAGGTGCTCATAGGTTCTGTTCACTTCAGGGTCCCAAGAAGGAGCAGGGTTACTTATTTGGGTGACTTGGAAGCTGAGGCGGGTACCCTTTGTGTGCCAGCTGTCAGATTTATAGGTATGCAGCGGTACACCTGGGCTGGTGTGGGACCACCGAGCTGCAGTTTCCTCATCAGAAAACGCAGACGCCGATACCATCTCAAAGGATGGAAGCAGGGAGCGGATGGGCAGCGCCTCAGTGCAGCCTGGTGGCACCTTGGCCAATGGTGTCACCATTAACTGCTGGCGCTGGCTGTCCCCTGGGGGGCACCACTGTGCGGGGCTGGAATTGAGAACCCTGGGCCTCCTTGGTGGAACATCCTTTTTGTCATGCATATATTTTAACTTCTTTTTTTTTTTAAGATTTTACTTACTTATTTGACAGAGATCACAAGTAGGCAGAGAGGCAAGCGGCGGGGGGTGGGGAAGCAGGGTCCCTGCTGAGCAGAGAGCCCGATGTGGGGCTCGATCCCAGGACCCTGAGATCATGACCTGAGCCGAAGGCAGAGGCTTAACCCACTGAGCCACACAGGCGCCCCTTTTTTAGCTTTTATAATCACTGTTAAGTGTTAATTGTCGATGGTAAAAGAGGCAAGTGGGAGGACATTCATGAGTCCTAAGTCGGGACTAATTGGGATTTCTAGACTTGACTGCTCATTGTGATCTATGCTTGTCTTCCACTATTATAGGACAGCTTGCTTAGGGCAGGGCTTGGCAGACTCTTGCCTATGAGCTAAGGAAAATTTTTGCGTTTTTAAAGGGTTGTAAGTAAAACACCCCCACACAGAAGAGGATGTGGCAGAGACCACGTGAGGTGACCAAGCCTATTATTTACTCTCTGGCCCTTAAAGCTGACCCCTTTCTTGGGGATTCCACTGCAACTCTCAGTCAGCATGAATGAAACTGGATTTGTTCCCTTTCACCCAGCTGCTTTCTGTTCTCCCCATTGCTAAGTAGCGCTACTTCCATTTTCCAAATGCAAAACCCAAGTTATTTAAGACTTCTTCCTCCTGCTCTTTCTCTCTGTAGCCCTTTGGAAACCAAACATTCCTTTGAAAGGTCTCCGGTCAGTTCTATGCCTTCCCATTTTCACTGTCGCAATTTGCTTTAGGTGCTTATCACCTTATCACCCCCGGGAGGGCTGGCCACATCCCACGTGGTCTCCTCCCACACTGAGCAGTGCATGACCAGTGGGCTGCTGCAGAACATTCCACGATGCTCTGTGACTTCCCAGGCCAGGTCCTAGGAGACACTGTGACTTGGACCTTGCTCGCTCGTGCATCACCGGCTCTGGGGCAAGCCAACTGCAGGGTCATGAATGACAGGAGGAGCCCGACAAGGAGGTCCATGGGTTAGGAGTTGTGAGAGGGAGCCGTGAGGGGGTGCCATCTTGGAAGTGGATCTCCTAGCCCCAGGGAAGCCTTGAGCTGACTCTGGGACCGGTGGATGTCTCGACTACAAGTACCTCATGGGATGGTAGGCCAGAACCACTCAGCTAAAGCTGCTCCTGATTTTCTGATCCATGGAAACTTGTGAGATAATAAATGTTTATTGTTTCAAGCCACAGTGTCTTGGGGTCATTTGTTACGTAGCAATACATAACTAATATTTCATTTTATGTTAAATTCGTATAATCACTTTTTTTTTAAAGATTTTATTTATTTATTTGACAGAGAGAAATCACAAGTAGGCAGAGAGGCAGGCAGAGAGAGAGGAGGAAGCAGGCTCCCTGCTGAGCAGAAAGCCCGATGTGGGGCTTGAACCCAGGACCTGGGATCATGACCTGAGCCGAAGGCAGCAGCTTAACCCACTGAGCCACCCAGGCGCCCTCGTATAATCACTTTCTAAGTGGTCCCCTTTTCATTCTGTTCCCCTTCTTGTTGACATATCATTCCCAGATAATCTCACTGTAACTTTCCCTGAATAAAAAGTTATAGAAGTTCCTCATTCCTCTCTGGAAAAAGTCAAAACCAGGCCTAGGCATTGGCCTGGATGACTCTGATGTAGGTGGGCGTCAGACTGTTCTGTGGGCAATGCTGGGTTCTCTCCCTCTGAACCTGCTTGGAAATCTGCTTCCATGAACGTGTCCTTGACTGATAAACCAGCTCACAGCTTGGTATATCTTCCTAGACGTTTATGCTTCTCTGGGACAATTTTTTTAAAAATCTGTTCACATATTTGGCTGACTAGTTTAAATTCCTCAGGAGCCAAGATCAGATGTTCTGCTTTGCACGCACAGTTCTGGGCATCCCTAAGTGCTTTGGGGATGTGAGAACCGGATTCAGAATCCTAGCATCTAAGAGGAAACATAGCTGGAAATGTAGCAGGGCAATGAGCACAGCTTTGGCCTTGGAGATGCCTCAGGCTGGGTGCTGGGCTGGTGTTCTGACTTTGGGCAAATGACAGCTCGGTATTGCTGTTTCTGTGAGAGAGGATATTAATGGCGCCTACTTCAGAGCTGAGGATTAAGGGAGTTCATGTATCTTATAGAGGGTATGTGGCCAATTACTGGCAGTTTATTCATAGCTACTGAAAATCACAATATCTTAAAAATTATGTATTAATAGTAACACACGGCACAGAATATCTACTATCATCATGCATCTCTCCATAGCTTTCTTTATACTTTGAATGACCAAATTGTTTTACTACGACAAATTTGTAATACAGTTCACCCTTGAACAATGCAGGAGTTAGAGGCCCTGATGCCCCCCAGTATAACTTTTGACTCCCCCAAACTTAACTACTAATAGCCTATTGATTGGAAGACTTCCCAACAGCATAGCCAATTAACACATATTTTGTATACATTTCCTATACTGTATTCTCACCATAGAGTAAGCTAAAGAAAATACTCAGAAAATCCCAAGAGAAAATATACTTACAGTACTTTACTGTATTTGTTAAGAAAAAACAATCTGCAGTAAGGACCCACACAGTTCAAACCCACATTGTTCAAGGGGAAACTGTAGTTTCATATTTTGAAAATTTCAGTCCAGTTGACACATAAAGTTTAATCAAAATGTTATCATTACTAGTAAGCGTTAACTCCCATAACGTAGAAGAGGCAAATGGTAAAAAGTTAATGAGCACAAACTCAGTACTGATAAATATACCCTTTGCATTTATGTAGTGGCTTCCATTATAGGCCTCCACGGTCTCCATACATCTGCACATCAATTTGTTAATGGGAAGAAGCTGGCTGGGAGGCAAGGCTGTGCGCGTGACTTCCCCCCAGGAGCTCTGGAAGAAGACGAGGGCCCAGAGAGGAAGGTGTGGGGCGTGCCATTGATCAGAGTTGGGTAGAAAAACCCAGACCTGCACATAGGGTTTCTGGGGCTCCAAAGTCAACCATGTTAATGGTGGGAGCTACTGACTCAAGCTTCTGTCTTGGAATTAGCTACTTTAGGACTGCAGTGATTTATTTACTGACTCTGGGGAAAGCCACAGGGGCTGCACATGACAGTGACTTGTTGAAGAGCACAGATTAAAACTACAAGTATTTGTAAGACATCTGGATGGTTCCATCTTTGTATTTCTCATTTATTTGCATTTCCATATTGAACCTGCTCATTCATTCCATTCATTCATCCACTCCACAAACATTTATTGAGCACCCGTTACATGCCAAATATTTCCCCAGAAACTGGGGAGAAGGCAGTGAAGAAATGTGATGGAGATCCTTGTCTTCCTGGAACAATTTAGTAGGGTGTTGGGTGCTAAGTGCAACGGAGAAAAAGTGCGAAAGGGAGGAGGGAGAAGTAGGAAGTGTTGCAGGGAGACAGGAGAATTAGGCTATTCAAGGCAGCCACTTGGGAGAGTAGGCACATTCTTGTAGAGCCACATGAGACAGAACCAAGGGGTAAACAATGGGACTAAATTACACAATAGCTGAACTTCCCAACTGTTAGAGTTGTTCAAAGACAGAACTTTGCCGAAGTAAGTGTCTCCCAGGTCCTGGACATGTTTAAACAGAGCTTAGAGCTTGCCATTGGCTGGAGGCAGGACCTCCTTCTTGGATCACTTTGAGCTCTGAAAGTCACTAGTAGAGACCAAATTTGGTGGAGAAGAGAGCCAGTCAGGGATGGGGTCTACCACACGGAGAGGGCTAAAGAGACAATCTCCTTGGCTGGGGATCCCATTACTACCCTCAGTGGTGTATAGACTAGGGATTCCCTGTAGCTGTGGTAACTGGTTCTTTGACCAAGCTGGATAACAAGGGTTGCCTGATCGTTTGCTACCTTTTAATGCAATGAAGATAGTCTGTTGTATGTAGTTGCCTCTATGCTACCTACTTCTAGACCTTTACCTTTCTTACATCTCTGATGCTGTGGGATCAAAGACTTATCAGGCCTGACAAGGTCTTCCCATTGTGTAGGGTTGGGATCTGAACCATCAGTAACCAGATGTTGTTGATGTAAAACGCTGGGTTTTTTGTGTCTGTTTTTAATATATATCAACTCAACTTTCTGAAATTTTTCTTTTTAATTTTAGAACATCTACCCAGGATTTTTTTTTTTTGACCATGAGGTATATGGATGAACTCAGATTCTTTATAGCAATTAGTAAAGCCATTTTTGTCTTTGCCTCCCCAAGTTTCAAAGAGATGCATCATGTTTTTGCACTTGTGTTTGTGTAATACACATAACCAGGTTTGTCCTCAACACAAATATTGCCTGGAAAGTACCAGTCAACCCACACTCCACTTTAGTGAAAGGGCTGGCTTGGATGCACAAATATAAATATAAATTTCTTGTTAACCATTCGCTCAGGCTCTCAACTATTTGCTGGTTGGTACCTACGTAGTACTGGCTGTTTGATCCACTGTGTTAAATGCCTCTTCTGGGTTAAAACTGACCTTAGAGAATCCCTTGGCCGACACCCTTGCTTTAAAAATGGAAGAAATTGAAATCCAGAAATGTTAAGGAACCTTTTCATGTTAGATAGCTGTTCTGTTGTCTGGAGCGCAGTTAAGTTAGTACCATTTTAGAACCAGCTTCGATGACGACAAACTAATTTGTTTCAGTCGCCAGAACGAAGGCTCGTGGGTCCTGAGAAATCCTTTTCGCTAGATTTGGAACAGAGAAAGGTCCAGTTTTTGCTGGGAAGGACGTGTGTCTACCACTGGATACACCTTGGGGAATATTTTAGGTCGTCATAGGAGACACTTGGGGGCTGGAATGCCAGTCCAAGTTTCTATTCTGTGAATCTGACTTCTGAAATGACCTTGAGACTTGTGCTAGGATGACTCCAGGCTTGTTGTCTCAAGTCACGTCGCCTGCCTTGATGGGCAAGCTGGAATCTTCTGAGGCTTCTTTTCTCTTTGGGATGTCTGAGATAAAAATTTTTTCCCTTTAAAAGTAGAAGTGATCCTGTTTCTTGCTTACACCCGAGGTTCCATTCAGCCGTAGCTACACTGTTCGGATTTACCTGTGCAGAGACTGGCTGTTCCTTCCTTCCCCCACGTGCTTTCCTGCAGCTTTTACACCATGTTTGCTTAGGAACTTGATATTCAAGGTAGCTCTACAGAAATCCTCACTCATCTCTGGCACTTCCACTCTTCCCAGCACTGCTGCTCTTGGGAGGAGTTGGGATGGGATGTCCTCTGCTGTGTCACCCTAGGGAAAGGGACTCAACGGTGCCTCAGTCACAAGGTGAAAGCAAAGAATACACAGAAGGGCAAACTTTAAGTGACCAAGCTCGCTCAAGGTTGTCCCGCTTGTCAGCCACACTCAGGAGTTTCCCCCCCAGTCCATAGTTGGATTCATTAGTGCAGCCTGTGAGAGCATTCCTAGTGCAGGACCCACAGGGTCAGGCCTTCTAGGCAGCAAAAGAAATCTGAGCAATGAGTTGTACACTGTTCACTGTACACACTGAACATGGCGTGAGTCTAAACCTCCGAGGATTCCCCAGTTCTAAAGCTGCAGGATGTAAAGCAACTTTTGATGCCCCACTTTTCAAGAGCCTTGTCTTGTCAGTTCTGAAGCTCTTTTATTTCCACTGCTTCAGTGATGCAGAAGTGGCTCGGGTTTTGCTGCAGCAGAGCCGCAGAATCTTTTGCATAGTAAGATCTATTCTAAATACATCAATTATGCATCATATACATTTTAATGGAATGCACCAGAAAAAATAGTGCAAATTCAGTCTGCCAGGTAATTGCACCTGAACATTTAATTAGTGTAGGCAGAGTTTTATATTAAATAGGTTCTTAGCTCCTCAACTTTTTGGGTGATAAAAGGAGGTTTTTAGACTTGGGCCTTTGGATAATATGGGAGGAGGATACGCTGTATGAACATTATAATGAATCTGTGTGTGTGTGTGTGTATCTGCACATTCTGCACAGAGACAAGAACTGGAGTCTCTAAACACGTCATATGTGCAATCAAGCCCTTTTCTAGAAACAGTTCTCTTTAGGAAATGCTAGACTATGATGACTCACAACTACCCTCCTGCACTGAAGCTGGGGAGGACAAAGACATACAGTTAGAAAGGTTACCCAAAGCTTTCCTCTTGGTGGTATCCAAGTTTTCTCTATCTCTGGAGTCCAGGAGGCCCAAGGCAAGGACTTGGACTTGGCTCAGCCAGTCAGTGAACAATGGACCATGAGCTGGACACACACACAAATGGCTTGTTTATACACCTCACAGAGCAGCTTCAGTGCAAGGAGATCCTCAAATACGCCTGACAAATAAGGGGGTAGCTTGTGTAAATGAGTATTAAACTCAGTATCGGCTAATGTTTGTGATATGTAAATATCTTAAATGATTCTATTTAGTTAACAGAAACATAAGAACTTCCCTAAGCTCACTGGGGTCTAACCTTTCTAATTTTTTCCTCAAGCAATTTATGTGCTACGATAGGAAATTTTCCTATGGGACATTCTAGGAATAGATCCCTTGAGGAATTCTATTTAGGAAAAATACATAAAAGCTTTATTTTTCTGTACATAATTTGTCTCTGCACATGTGACTTCTCATATATGATGAAACATTACACACTATTTGTGGAATCCTAATTTCCTACGCTGTTGAGGGTAAAAGAGGAAGTTACATCTTCTTGGTAGCATAGTAGAATTACGGTAGTGGCTCCGTTTTTAAAAATTTTTTCCTTTTTTCTTTGTTATTAATGAAAGTTTTTCTTTACCTTTTTTCAAAATTTATTATTTTAGAGAGAGTGAGAGAGAGAGAGTGTGCACAAGCTGGGGGAGGGGCAAAGGGAAAGGGAGGGAGGGAATCTCCAGCAGACTGCTCACTGAGCACAGAGCCTGATGTGGGGCTCGATCCTACGACCCTGAGATTGTGACCTGAGCCGAAACCAAAAGTTGGATACTTAACTGACTGAACCACCCAGGCGCTCCTTCTAAAAATTTTTCTAGTGTGGTCCTTGCCAGATTGTCGCTCTTAACTCGATCGTAACTTCTGATGATGCAAGTATCTTAGCCTTCCTAACCTAGGTGGTTTCTGACTGCTAGTTCCCAAAAAGACATCACCATTTTACAATAGGAACTCAACACGGAAGTTATGATGGAAAGCCATTTTATTTTTCCCTAAATTTTAAAATAAAAGACTTGAATGGAAAACGTTTAGTACCGTCATGTCACCCTGAATGCCAGCAATACCTTGAGTCTCACACACACAGGAAGCCAGGTCAAAGTCCAGTCAGTGTACACATTTCTCCATGGCTCTTCCAACAGTTTGGCATGAACAAAATTTTCTGCCATTTTGCTTTAGCAAATAGCAACATAATTGAAAACTTTCATGTCTCCTATGCGACCCCTAAAATCCAATGCTATATTTATTAATACAGTTAGAAAAATAAAAGCCTTAAAAAATTCATGGTATGAGTTCACGGTGCTAATCACATCATCTCTTCAAATTTAAGATCATTTTAAAAACTCCTACTTAACAACCTTCTGGTTTAATCTGAAAGGCTTAAGACTTGAAATCTAGTAAGACTGTTAAGTCAACGTACATATCAATTATTTCATTTTCACTTGTCCTGGGAGAGTTAATTCCCATTGTCCACTGAATGAATGCCTTTCAAATATTAATAAATATACTACAGTATTTACAAGCATCCTTATCTACTCTGACACTGGTAGAAAGTTAAGCTGTGGGGAAGGAATGATCTCCCAGCGGGGCAAGCTCGTGAAGTCTGGGAGGAAAGGAGCAGGTGCTGGAGGGCATGCCAAGGGCTGCTCAGGTGTGCATGCGAGCTCTCAGACACATCTCCTTCTGACCAGCTAGCCAATGTGTTGTTCTTGGATCAGGTGTAAATGCTGAATAGTCGGAAACCAGGAAAAAAAAAAAAGGAATACTGCGAAGGTATGTTATTTTAGTAGTTAAGAAGAGGAAGACAGGCCTAAGGTCAGAGACGAAGGTTAACAAGGGTAAAACCATGCTCCAAAAGCTGCTAGTGAATTACTCTCTGGGAATTACCTAACGTAGCTGAGGTGTTGGGCACATGTCATGGCTATGGGAGAAACTGTAAGAAATTGTTTTGGCAATAAAAAGTGAGGCTAATTCAATTTCTATGCTTTGAAGTGTGTCATGTGTCTTCTTCTCACACTGCGGACTGTCTCACATAGACCTAACACCCACTTGACAAACCTCGTTAATGCTGCTCAAGGATTCACATTCTAATGCTCTGGTAAGAGTGATCAAAATGCCCTCATCAGCCTAGACAGCATCAGAAACCTGAAGGACTGAAGCCAAAGACTGAGATGAGCTAGGTATCTGCCTTGTAAATGTGAATGAAACTCTCATTTTAGGGGCTTAGTTTCTTATGTTTTTGTAACAGTGGTACACTAGTCGTTATTTTAAAAAGCCTTCTGTCATAGGTCATGTCTATATACCTACACAAACACCATTCCCTTTCCCGGTAGTCATTTCGAGGCCTAATACCTGGGGCCCTCAAAGGGTGTGTGGCTTCCACCAAAGCATCTGGGATACAGAGTCCAAAAGGTCCCTTGGAAAATTTTATAAATGAGATTCACCCCATATACTGTTTAAATCTTGTACACGAGAGTCTTTAAAATAATTTAAACATGTGCAAATTCAAGAAGGGTTCTCTGGTGGCCCATTTTGACATGCAAATACAGACGAACTGTTAACATGCATTATTTTAGTCAATTGGTAAAGTTTATTTCATAAGTATAAGTAATTTTAAGCCATTTACTAAATTGTAAATTTCAACCCATTAAAAACTACTACCAGAGCAGTTTTGAGGTATTACTGTTAATCTAATGTAGAAATGTTACTATTCTTTGATGTGGAGTGAAATGTGACTGCCATGCCTTTTATTCAATGGTGCTGTTGCAGTGCTGACTACAGATGGGTCCTACAGCTTTTAGGAAATTCTTGTGCATGTGCATTAACTGATTTCCCAAATGCCAATGGCAATTTGACTGGTTGGTAGTTTCTAAGCTAACTAAAATAATAAAGTACAGCTCCTAGCATGAGACAAACAAGCTGAGATAGTTCATGTATACAGTGAGTGCTACCCTCCAACCTACCTCCATCAAAACCCGCCCTACTCCCTCCAGTCATTTACAAGGAAAACTTGTGCAAAAAAGCATCCAAAAAGTCTATCAGCAGGTTAATTTTCTTGTAATTTTAAAAGAACTAGACAATTATTTCCCTTAAAATTCATTTATAAAAATAAATAAATTTCAGTTGGAGACCTTAGGTACCAAATTGTGGCTTAATTTAGTTGTGATGGCTAAGACTATAAAGTTATGAAAAATGTAGCTGAAAACGGATGAGCTCCAGCTCGTTCCCCGCAGTGTGGCAACGGCTGGCACCCTATGCTGTCACGATCCTTCTCAGAGTTAACCAAAATACACGCAACTTTTTGACAAACTTCTAGCCTTCCTTTGTCCTGAAACTCCCACAGAACTTTAATTCTTAGACCTCTGTTACAAAACTACAAGGAACCATAATCCATTCAAGATGGGGAACGAAAACCTGTCACCCACTCAGGGGACACCCATCCATTGCACTGGGGCGAACACAGCAGCTCAGAGGAAATGGTTCCCCACTGGGGTGTACAGCTTATCCAGATGTTTTGCACTAGAATGCAGGCATGAAGTCCCTCCTGTAGTCTTTAGCTCAGAGCAACAATAATTTAAAATCAGTTTGATAGCAGGAGCAAATCCTTCCAGGTTTTGTGCCGTGAGATGATACACAGCCTGGCCCGGCAACTCCAGGTACCCGGTATGTGGCAGGACCCGGCCACTGTGTGCGTTAGGCAGGAATGCTGTCGGGCGGAAGTGCCAATATGACTTACTGCGTAGAACTGTGCGAACATCGACACCTTTGTGAGGCTGATTTCTCCTAGGAGAAGCTTTTTGCCTTAGTCGGGAAATGATCTGAGGAACAGTAAGGAACTGAACTAAGGAAAAAGTCTCTGGCCTCCAGATCCACGCGCACACACATGGAAGCAAGTTTCAAGCTATTGTTCTCTCTCGGTGCAAACGAGCAATTGGCTGACCTGTCACGTATCGTCAATCGATAGGAACACAGCATTCAGTCTTTGAGGCAGCAAAAACCTGATCTAATGCAAATTCAAGCCTATGAACTAAGACCACAGCAAGGAGAGACAGTCCAGCTCAGTGTTCTCCCACGCTGGTATCAACTCGGAACACAAAGCAACTGAAAGGCACAGGCTCAGATTTCATTGATAGTCCTCTCTGAAGGGCAGTACTCCGAGGTGCCCGGTGAGGACATGTAGAAAGACTGTGTTTTCCTTTTTAATCGGGCTCTTTTGTTGGCCAACACCAGGCTGCGCCGGCTGGAACTGATGATTTCTGAAATAAACTTTTTGCAGTCTACACACACCTCCATAGTACTCCAGTCCTCCATCAGCTCTTTGGGAAACTGTAGCTCTTCATCGGATTTGTCCACAGACTTAGATTTTGAGGAGAACCTGGAACAAAAAACAACCTTTAGAGTATCCAGTATTGTCACTTACAGTTCTACTGCAATACTGAGAAAATACGTGCAGAAAAAGTAAATCTGTTCCCAAAACATTATGGAATGGGTGAGTCACCTCATGCTCTTCCAAAGGAGAATATTTTGAAATAAAATTCAAAATATTAAAAAAAAAAAAGAAACAAGGAAACATGTTTTATTAAGAAATAGTCATACTGGGAAAAAAAAAGAAGTAATAATACTGAAAACTCAGTATCCCTTCCAGAATTTTTGGAAAAAAAGCCTAATTAGAGTATTCACCCCAATACTATACAGTGGACTTAAACAAACAAAATGAAACAAAGTACAAGTTGCTAACGTCCTATCGATAATTCAGAAAGGACTTCAAGTTCTTTCTCCAGTGACCCCGCGTCAGAGTTGGTGAACATGAGTCAACTGTAGACAGGAGGGCAGACTAGAGTAAACTGAAGTCAACTGGTCTCAGTCCTGAAAAGTTCTCTTCGGAGCAGCTTCCTCAGCATTTTTGTATTTATCAGATATACCTGTCCCTCTCCAACAATTGTATTTGGGTTACTAATGATTTGGATCCCAGGGAGCTGAAGTTAACCAGGTTAACACTGTAATAAATGTTTTGGGTGATTTTTTTGAAATAACTGGCAATCATCTACTCGTGGACTACTTTAGTGAAACCAAACAGGAATGTGAGTTTAGAGTAGGGATAGAAAGGAACAACGTGCCCCACAGCCTTGAACCCACCGGTGACGAGTCGGGGGCTATCCCGGAGCGCAAGGCAGAGTCTCGGAGCGGAGTCGGTGCAAGTCACCAGCGGGGCTGCACAGCGGCGGCGGCGGCCAGCAGTAGCACTGCCTGGTGCCCAGCACCCAGCACCAGTGCCCGGCACCTCCCTGACCCTGGGGGCAGCTCGTATGTAAAACCCCGATCTTTTTGGCCCTGTGAGCGCGTAAGCCAAGCTGGCCTGACCTCCTTCTGCCCTCCCTTAAAGACCCGCAGGAACCTTACTCTACATTAAATGCAGAGGGACTGATATTCAGGCAACTTTTTTTTTTTTTTAAAGTGCCAAAAGCTTTTGGCATAAAGCTTTATTTCTGCCGTACCAACAGCAGGAAGCTAAGGCAAAGTGCTACCAGACCACTGGGACGCTCGGACTGACCAGATTTGCCTTCAACACTAAGGAAGAAAGATGAAAGTGTTACATGCAAGTTTTTGACTCCGCTGAAAACAAGGTCAGTTTTAAAAATGACTTTTAAAGGACACCCAAAGTAATTATTTCTAAAGTAGAAAAGTAATGATGACATTCAAGTATGCTTCAAGCGGCTAGCTTTGTTCCCTTGTCCAGTTACCTTTAGGAAGTTTTGGAGACCTGTGTCTAAGTCAAAACTATATTAAAACCAGCCACCCAGACACCCCAAACCACCCTGAGTCTGAACCCTACCTCGTCAGCAGTCCTCAAAAGGAGCATTCTTCTTTTACAGAGATGCTCTGAGGTCCCAGGCCCCCTGCTCACCTGGCAATGCTCCGGAGTGGCCGATGGTGGCCAGGGGTGGGCTTTTCTGGCCTCATGCAACTTTCCCCTCTTTGCAAGGCAGAAGGTCCCAATGAAAAGATGGGAAGAGTGGAGTATGGTTTGGAGGGCAGCCGCATCTGTCACCCCAAACAAAACCGAGAATGAGCAGTACGGTTAAAGAGGGAGACTCCTGAAAATTAACACAAGTTGTGATTTCACCAAGTTTAGCTTACCTTTTTGCAACACTGGGAACACACAGGCCTGTATACAAAATCAGAAACGTTACTCAGCATGATACCGGAGACGCGACTGCAAAGTCAAAGAAGCCAATGGCTGCATGGTTGTGAATTTTTATGATAAACTGCCAAAACCCTCTGATTTTTCTACCAGAATGTAACATTCTGGTAGAATGTTACATTCTGTGGATCATCAAGAAGACAATCTGTACACCTTAACTCTTACACTGTTTCCTGTAAAAGGATCAATTTATATCCGTCTGGGATTTTCTTACTTGTCTATCCAGGGATCACATGACAATCACATCTTTTTTTCTGTTCCAACTGGACATATGTTTACTAGAGTGATCTGGGTTATGTAAAAGAAATATATGCAGAGAAGCATTTTCCAGGTTTAATTCCAAGTAACTGTTTGCTCTACTCTTTTGAAAAAAATCAGTATTATTAACGCCCAAGCACAGCACAATCTGATAATGGGTTGGGTAATCTCTAATACTGTTCCTGTGTAGGAAAATATGAATGCAACCGGTATTTCTTTGACTATGGTCATCAATTACAAAAAAAAAAACCTTACCTCTTACAGAACTGACAGGTATAAGACCAGGTGAAGAAGGAGAATCTCCTGGTTCGGCAACAAAAGCAGAGCTAAAAAGTACAAATTTAAAGGGAGAAAAAAGCATTGCCAATAGTTAAATTCCTAATTTACACATCTAAATACACTTTACATTTATATAATGGGGAAGTTTAGCAGAAGGAAGGAAAATGGGAATTCAGAAACCCTGTTTTCAAGTTTGGCTCTGTGATAATTATAGTTTGGCTCTGTATTTACTTCTAATTCCCCTTTTGAAAGGTAGTAGTACGCCATAGCTCTCCGAGGTTCACCATCATGGAATCAATCTGAAGAAGGTTCTGAGATAGTCTCTTTTTCAGATACAGTTTCTTTACAAGACTTCAAAATGCGGACATGGTTTTATGAAGGCATGCCATTATTTATTAGGGTTGTTTTAAATCTTCTACAGTTTTTGATTTCTCAGGGAGAAACAAAAATACTCCTCTTTTTTGTAAGCAAGGCAGAACAGGAACTGTGTATTAGAGAATAAGCCTCTTACCTCCTAAAATCCCCTATAAGTCCTATACCATCTGGCTGCCAGCAGACCACTCCCACAGGAGACCAGACCATTCTTCTAACCCTGCTTATCAACCAACTTGAAATAGCTCTACCTTTCCTTTTTTCAGGGCGGTGTAGACATCTTTATACTGTTGGTACTTTTCCAGCTCTGCCTTCACCAGGACCTGACGAATATGCATTACTTCCTCCACAGTGAGAGCTAGGCATTCCACTGGATAGCAGAATTCCTCCTGAAATTCAAAATTCCACATGAATAAGAAACTCCCACCCCACCCCCTTCTCTGGCATTGCACAATTTCCCTTCAGATCAGACAACTGGTTAGTAGCTTCAGAGAAGAAAAGAGGTTTCCCAATGAACACTGGAACAGAGCTGGCTCACTCTGGGGACCACATTAATTTTTAATTACACTAAGACAATGGATGGCAGAAAGCTTCTGGGGACCATGTCAAATGTCAGAGCCTATTGAAATTTCCAGGAAAGGAAAGTTCCTCACATTTGGGTGCATATTTTGTCTCAAAGTTTCTATCCCATTAAGCAGAGCTATGTATCTATACATTGAAATCTTGAAGAAAATTTTCTTGTTCTAAACCAAATTGACCCGAGTTTTCACTTATGATGATGCAGACATTACTTCTCGTGCTGTATACTATATGCTCATAGGTAAACAGCAAGTCTACAACAGTGGTACTATTTAGAAAACTGGTTTGTGGTACCCAGAATAGCCAAAAGAAGGTGGTTAGTAATTTATACTGAGAAGCATTATTTAGTGGCAAGTTACATCAGCACATCGTGAAAAATCCTAGTAGTACGAGTGGAACTGGAACATGGAGCTACTGGAACAACCTCTAAGGCTGCCCCATAGTTCTCTGGATGTCTCTTATTACTTTGAAACAACCGCTGAATACGCAGTCAGGACTGGAAAGCCGTGGAGAAAATCTTAAGAATTTCACAATAAATATTTATGCTGGCTGTCTTATGTTAATGGTTTCCCTAAAAACAGCCGAGGAAGATGTTGATGTAACCGATCCCACTGAATAAAAGAGCCTCACCCCCATCTGCTCCCCATCCGGCTCTGCGCTTGATTGGTGGATCTAATAGAAAGACAGAACGGTCTTGTGCATTCTCATCCTGCCAGGCTTCACAGGGGCCATTGTGGTGTAGGGACACTGAAACTTAATGTTCTCAGTACAAACACATTATAATTCACTCCCACACACACACAATAGCATTGCTCACAGGCATTCTGGAATCAAACAAGCCAAATGGGAAAGCACATGACTATGAATGCAGTCAGTTTATGGAGTTTTAACATTCAGTTCTGTCTTTCAATCAGAAAAAAACAGAAACAAATCTAGGTTGCAAACTTGATAAACATTAGCATTTACTAAAAAAAGTAGTTTGGAGAACTGTTTCTTACTAACAATCAATACAAAATCATCTCTGTTCAGGCTGACTTAAAGAAGGTTAAATTTGCTTAAAAATGTTTTGGAAAAAATCCTGCAATTAAATTTTTTAAGAGGAAAAGCTTAGTATCTGGAGGGTGGGAAGGTAGTCTGTCTGTTCGGGAAGATCATTTGCTCTAAGATGTCTAAAATCCTTTAAAAAAAAAATCACCATCACATAATTTTCTCTTTCAATGGGAAAAGCTTTCAAAGATCACAGGATTAAATGGGCTTGTCCGGTATCTACTCTGTTTTGCTCCCCCCTGAGAAAGTAGCCTAGTGTCAAGTGGGAACAATGCACTGTCTGTGTGAAGGTTAGGTCACTAGAATTGTGCATGAGGTAAGCATCCTGGCTGCACACGTCTGGATGATGGCTTTTCTCAGCTTTTAACATATTTCACAAGCAGCTTTCCTACTTTTTTTTTTTTTTAATTATTCATTAGCGATGAGTGTGACTGTGGTGCATTTTCTGACAGCTAACTGTGACAAAACTGCTGAGCTGGAACAATCTAATGTATGATTCCAGCCACCAGCCAGATCCTCACTCCCTGAGATTTGGTACCGTGCAGGTGGGAAGATGGCACACAGTGCCAATTTAATTAGCTTTACAGCTAGGGCTGGTAAACACTTCCGGTAGATGGGAGTCCTTTTTATTTGCAGGGATATCCTAGCACACACTATAGACTGGCAGGTTCTACCTCCCTCTTCTCAGTCTTAAGTCACAAATGGACTTAGTCAAGCATACTTTCAACTTCCTGCTTTGAACCATATGCAAATCCGGTACTTCACAAGGACACAATTAGAAATTGTATTTGTGTGTGTTCTTGTTCTTTTTTAAACTTTCAAGGAGGTTACTGTTGAGTAAGAAAATTCCCATTGGGTCAAATGCTAATGTTTTAATTCTGGTGCTTTCCCAAGGACAACAAAACTTTAATGCAACATGAAAGAAAGTAATAAATAGTTACTAGAATTAGTTTTCATTACTTTTTTTCAGTTGAGAAAAAATACTAATTCAACATCCTCAAAGCCAAATTAAGCCTTAGCCTTAAAAGATCTTGCTGGGACACTAATGATCCAAAATGTGAGGGGCGCTCAGGGCTTTAACAGTGAGCGAGAGCTCTGCACTGGGCTTGGTCACTCCTCCGCACACCCTGAGCTCTGTTATAGCCAGACACGGCCTCTAAAATCCCCTTACTTCCCTGTGCTTCAATCTCATTCCTAAATTTAGGAAAGGGATGCTAAATCTGGAAGAGTTTTAATCAAGATTGAAATATACTATAGGAGCAGATGAGCCTTTAGAACTTAACTTTGGACGTATGTCACTAAAATCACAAATTTTTGTTCAATATTCTGGTTACATTTACCATTCAGAAGGGTCAGAATAAGGGAGCATAGAAATTACAGAGCATAATGTAGACTCTGGTTACTGAACCACAGAGAAAATGGGAATGTGCATATTTTATATAGTATTTTTAATGAGCAAAAAAAAAGTAGCAGATATTTGAAAATTATCCAAAACCACCAATATTTTCTGGAGTTTTTAATAAAACCAAGGCAGATTTAAATTAAAATAGCACCTATTAAGTTTAATTATTCTTCTCTTATGTCAAGTTCAACTTTAAAACTCAAAGTGAACTCTTTACCTAGAGTAACAGTGTAGCCTTACATCTCTGTTTGGGGAGGACTGATAATAAAAATGAAAATGCTGGCAGATCTTCAGTAATAGCAGTAACAGTGGCGGGAGTTAAAATGCCATCCCTGCATTTTAACTGACCACGTACTGCCCAAAGGGCCAGATCTAAAGTGGGAAAAAGAATAGAGATCTATTCTTCTGTTTTGTGACAATAAGAGAAAAGAATTTGATGTATTTCATTTACATTCAGAATCTCTTTTCCAAACCAAGATGGGGAATAAAGAATAACAAAGAAACCAGCTGCTGCTTCATTTGTCAAGGATAGGTTTAGTAAATAAAGGACCTAGGAGAACCAGGATCCCACAGGAGGCGGAACAGGAGAGCAGCTGCAAAGGCTAGTCTAGTGGGCAGCCGGTGCTGCTCTGGGGGCAGGGGAAGCTTTCGGCATAGCGGCATAGTACAAAAGCTTATTTCACTGGGGTTTGGCAAATATTATGTTTCCTTTAAAAAATATATTCTGTATGAAAGTCTAAAAAATAATGAAATGCCTAAATTTACATATTTAAAATAATCACATCAATAAAAGGAAAACTTAAAATTTCTATGGCGAAGTGGGTTGTCATTAAAAACCACATGACACCTGACCCACACCACACAGCTCTATGAAAGATGCGGAACAGAGAGATTCTGAGCCCAGGGCTGGCACAGGCTATGGGTGCACAGCATTTTGGAGCTCACGGTGGAGTGTGCAGGAAATGGGGAATGACATGGTTCCAGGGGTGGGGGAGTCCCCATGGCTCTGTGGCCTGGAAGAAGGCTGTTGTGTCCCCTGGGTGAGGGAGCAAACACTGTTCTGATGGTGGGAGGGCCTGGGGAGGAGAGCACCCTGCAGGCTCTCGGGGAGTGCCCCCTGTACATGGAGAGGAGATGGCATTCCTCCTGCTGTACAACTGGGTCACTCACAGGTCCCTCTAATCTGATGCTGCATTTTGAGTTTGTTGTCCTTTCAAGGTCATTTTCCTTTCAACTGAGATCACGGTGTCATCTATGCATCCTACAAAAGACTGGAATCAACGATCAGAAGCAAAGTGCCCATCTAAGCTGTTAATTGTTCAGAGTGCGGTAGTTGCGGTATCACTGTCAAAGAGATAGAGAGAGTAAAATAATTCCCAGAACCAGCAGAAAGAGGCCAACCTTTGAGGATTTCCACCTGCTGGTAAAAGCTCTCTCACATAGATAATACATAGCCCCTGCTACCCCAAACATGGCTGCTTCAAAAGGATGAGAGCTGAGCAGAGAAGCTGTTTGTATGGTAGAAAAAAGTGGTCGGAAAGGCGTCCTTGGCCAAACACTGGTTATCCTAGGAACCTGAACAATAGATAAGGGAAAAAGAAAATGGTAGGGGGAAAAGAAAAGGAGAAAATAATGCTGAACGTGAGTGACCTACAAATAGTGCTTACAGAGCATGAAAGAAAAACAAAACAAAACAACAACACCACCGAGGACTTCAGCGGTAGATTCATGTGTGTGACCACACCACGTCTGCTCCCGCATGTGAAAGTCAGTAATCGCACCAGGAAATCATTCCTAGAGACTCTCGGAGTTCACACAGCAGAGCTTAAGGTATTTCTAACTTGGCCGTGAGAGCGGGTGTGGGGGGCGGGCTCCAAGCAGCACTTGCTCCCCAGCCTCCCAGAGGAAGGCGCTGAAAGTCGCCTTTCACTTAGATGGACAATCATCCTCAATCATTTGACCAAATGATGAAAAAAATTAGGTTTTAAACATCCTAGGGAAAGAGAGGGAGACACAAGAAAAATAAAAACGAGGACCAGTGAAGACATTTCTGCCATTTTCAGTGGAGGGGTTATAAATACGAAATGATGCCTTGTTTTCTTAAATAGAGCTACAGTTTTAAATTGTCATACTTTTAAAAAATGATACTTACCAAGCTAGAGGGCCCTGCCGCAAGATGAGTGTGACTTTATGGATTTCCCAAGACAAGCTACTAGCAAGAAGGGTCACTACTCTGACCTGGAAGTGTCTTTGTCTTGGCTGGTACCCTGGCCCTTGGAGGGAGCTGTGGTTCCATGTGGAACCTGGACGCCAGCCAATGAACGGAAGTGCTTTCCCACTGTCTTCCACTGAGACTCTTAGCTGTGACCACAGACTGGTTTTATCTTGCTCTTCTTCTCCACAAAAAGTAACTCACAGCCTGACCTAGCACATACCAAGAGTTACCCTTTGTCAGGAAAACACTTCTGGGCCCTCGATGTGGGCGGATGGTCTTTCCTCCATTATCTCTTTGGTATTTTTTCTCTTCTATTCAAAATTTCTCCTAGTAGCTGAAATTTCTTTTAATTGACCTGACAGTTCCTCTACATTGATAATTTTTAAATTTAACATGAACAGTGGTGTCATGAGATCACAAGGCCTGGTGCACAGCTGAATGATGCACTGCCTTCTAAGAGGAAAGCTGGATGAAGAGAAGAATCGCCTGATTATTGGACTTGTGACCTCGAACAGACTTAAGCTGTGACAATAACTACATTTTGCTAAAGCAAAAAGTTGTTCACATTAACACAAGTCTTTGAATTCTGAAGTTTGAGCCTGTCTGGTTAGAGTTCTCTTTTTCTACGGGTAAACCACTGGCGAGGCTATATTTAATCAATGTTTCAGTGATTATTTGGGAGTTAGAGGAATTTGGTCAGGAATTGACATATAATCACTAGTTCTTTAGTCAAACTGTTTGGGAACAGAGATGACTGATTAAATTTCAACACTATAAAGCTCTGTCCAAACTTGGTACCTTCACAGTAACCACACCACCTTCCTCTACTTTGAGGGAGGGACATCTGTCATTGCTTTATTTGAACCCTTGATAATTCAAGATAGCTTAAAAATATGGCTGGAAAAAATGGAGTAAGCATATTCCAGTGCTTTTATTCATGAATCCCTGAGAAAACATTAGATATTAGGTTGCTGGTAAAATGACTGATTGTGAAGTCTTCATCTCCCCAGCAAATATTTGTGAAGTCAAGTGGGACTACAAAAGAATCTTTGCAGACCGCCTTTGGTTAGAGGATCTGTTACTTCTTCTTGGCAGGGGCCTACTGTCCTGGGAATCAAAGCCACTAGATGAACCTGAAGTCTTGGGAAAACAGCAAAACTGTCATCCAGGGCAAACAGCAGCTTTGGCTCCAAGATCATAAAACATACTTGAAAACAATGTACAATGGTTTCTAATGGATCAAAATTCTCCCCTCATATTTCTGCCTCCATAAAACAACCTTTTGATGAGTTTTAACAATTTTTAAGCATACTAATTCCCTTAAAAAGAAGAAAGCATTTCTTTAATAATAATAATACATATTTTCAACCACTGGTAAGTATTCTGGAAAAAAAAAGTACTTTAAAATGAACAAAGAATGGTCAAATTTCATTTAGGTGACTGTTAGAGTTGGTTTTCTTTAGATATTAAAAACAAATAAAGCTGTTTGAAGTTCATTTTAACGTTTGGAAGTTTATTTTTCCTCCTAATCATTGAGAGCTAATGTAAGAGGCCTCTCACTGATCCTGAAGTCACTATGAAGCCTTCCAGTTACTTACAAGAGATCGGGAGCTCTGCTTGGACGGTGGCAGAAACTGTCTTACATTAGTGGGTGTTTCCTTTTCAATAGAATGTCGTCTCTGGGGTGGCTGCCGTCTCTCTGGCTGGGGTGTTGATGATATGGGCAAGAATTTTGGAGGCTCTAAAGAAATGAAATGAACCAAACTGAAATGAACTTTCCTACAAAATAAAAATCTTAGATTTTGAATTCCTAACAGAAAACCCTTTGTCACTTGTGACAAACACTGCATTCAAAGATGAAATGTTTATTTCATTAGAGGGTTAAGACTGGAGGTCCTTATGGGGATACTATGAGGATTGCTATACAAAAATCTCTGCAAGATAAACTTTCCTACAGACATAGTGAGGAAAAAAGGAAAAATATTTCATATTTTTAATATTCATCCAAATTTATACATAAAAACACAATTATAGTCTCAGCTTTGTACATGTAAATGCCCTCAAGTTATATACCACAGGATTTTGCAATTATAGAGTCTCAGGCATGTAAAAGAAGTAAAAATATGTATTCTGTGTGTCCAAAAAGTCTCCCATGTCATGCCAAAATATTCAAGTTTATCATTTTATATTCTCCTTTTTAAAAGATGAACTATAAAAAATAAAAACTTTTCATTTTTGATGATTATCAAGACATTTTGTCCTTGATTTAATTCAATCTCTATTTAAATTTTGAAAAGTAAATTCCAGTTTTGATGTTCATACTCTAACACTGCTCTCTTCTGCCTCGTGATATTTTGGGATAGGGTTTAAAAGCAGAATGTTTTAGTGTTTGAATGGTTCTGGATTCACATTGTGAAAACATAAGGAGAACATTAGAAATAAATTATGTTGCTAACCAAGTTTTTTTTAGTGCTTCCTCCTACTCTCTTTGCAAAGTAAGGCTGCTGAAGTGTTGTGAGTGAGGAAAGTGAAAGTCAACACAAAGTTAAAAGTCATCCATCTATTTGGACTGTCCCCCCAAGAGAAATCACTAAATAAAAACATCACAATTTCCACAATCAAGAAAGATACAAAAATCCATTATGTGATTTAACTAAATCTCTGTAATATTTAATTGGCCTGGCCAAATACCAATTATAGGTAATAACCAAGATCAGTTCTTATTATGTTCTTGATATAATCTTATTAAGTAAATCAAGGTAACAGTTAAAGAATTTTAATCACTAAAAACTCCATGTGTATAAGAAATCAAGTCAATGGTCTAAGAATATCTTAATATATAAGTGTTTTCCTCCAGGAAAAGTTTCTTTATTCCATTGCTGTAAAACATACATAAAATATACTTAGTGTCTTTATATTTTTTAAGATTTTATTTATTTATTTGACAGAGGTGGAGAGAGAGAGAACAAGCAAGAGGGAAAGGGAGAAGGAGAAGCAGGCTCCCTGCTGAGCAGGGAGCCCAACACGGGGGCTGGATCCCAGGACCCTGGGATCATGACCTGAGCCGAAGGCAGACGCTTAACTGACTGAGCCATCCAGGTGCCCCTGTCTAATTTTTTTTTTAAAGATAGACTTATTTATTTGAGCGAGCAAGCACATGAGCAGGGGGAGGGGCAGACAGACAGAATCTGCAAGCAGGCTCCCCACTGAGTGTAAGCCCCACATGGGGCTCAACCTCACAACTCTATGATATCCTGACCTGAGCCGAAACCAACAGCCTGACGTTTAACCGACTGAGCCAGGCGGGCACCCCTAGTGTCTTAATTTTAACTGTACAGTTCAGTGGTATTAAATATTTCCATCATTGTGCAACCATTACCATCTTCTATCCCCGTAACTCTTCATCTTGTAAAACTGAAATTCTGGGGGCGCCTGGGTGGCTCAGTGGGTTAAGCCACTGTCTTCAGCTCAGGTCATGATCTCAGGGTCCCAGTCGAGCCCCGCATTGGGCTCCTTGCTTGGTGGGGAGCCTGCTTCCCCCCCTCTCTCTGCCTGCCTCTCTGCCTGCTTGTGATCTCTGTCTCTCTCTCTGTCAAATAAATAAATAAATAAAATCTTAAAAAAAACCCAACAACAACTGAAATTCTGTAACCATTACAATAACTTCCCATTCTCCTCTACCTACAGACCTGGCAACTATCGTTCTATTTTCTTTCTCTCTGATTTTGACTACTCTAAGAATCCCATATAAATGGAATCATACAGTATTTGCCTTTCTTGTAATTGCTTTCTTCCCTTAGCAAAAAGTCCTAAAGGTTCGTCAGTGTAGCAACTGCAGGATTTCCCATTTCTAAGGCTGAGTAATATTCCATTGTGTGGCTATTCCACATTTTGCTTAGCCGTCCATGCACTGATGGGACACTTGGGTTGCTTCTATGTTTTAGCAATTGTGAATACTGATGCTATGAATATGGATGTCTATCTCTTTGCTTATATAACCAGAAGTAGAATTGCTGGATCATACGTAATTCTATTTTTAAATTTTTGAGGAGTCACCATACTGTTTTCCACAGCACCTGTACCATTTCACATTTCCAACAGTGCACAGGGTTCCAATTTGTCCATGTTCTTGTCAACACTTGTTATCTTCTGGTTTTTGTTTATTTTGATGGTAACCACTTTAGTGGATAGGAGGTAGTATCTCACTCGAGTTTTGATTTGCATTTCCCTAATGTGTTTGTTGATCACTTGTATATCTTCTTTGGAGAAATGACCATCTGAGTCCTTTGCTCATTTTTTAATTAGGTTGTCTTTTCTGTTGTTGAGTTTCAGGACTTTCTCTATATATTCTCTGAAAATTAATCCTTTATTAGATATATGATTTGTAAATATTTTCTCATCTTCTGAGGGTTGCCTTATCATTTTCTTGATGATATCTTTTAGTGTTCAAGTTTTTATTTTCAAAAATTCCAACTTGTCCATTTTCAAAAATCTGTGCCATTAGTGTCCTATCTAATAAACAATGACAAATCTAATCTCATGAAGCTTTTGTCCTATCTTTTCTTCGAAGAGTTTTATTATTTTACGTCTTACATTTTGGTCCTTAATCCATTTTGAGTTAATTTTTGTATTTGATGTTAGGTAAGGGTCTAACTTCATTCTTTTCTTTTTTTAAGGTTTTATTTATTTGATAGAGAGAGAAAGAGAGAGAGAGAGAGAGAGAAGCAGGCTTCCAACTGAGCAGGGAGCCCAATGTGGGACTTGAGTCCAGGACCCTGGGTTCATGACCTGAGCCAAAGGCAGATGCTGAACCGACTGAGTCAACCAGGGGCCCATTCTTTCTTTTTTTTTTTTTTAATCTTTAAAAAATTTTAAATCTTTAAAAATTTTTTAAGTTTTTTTTTTTTTTAATTTATTTGAGAGAGAGAGAGAGAGCATGAACAGTGGGGAGGGGCATAGGGAGAAGGAGAAGCAGACTACCCAGTGAGCAGAAAGTTCAAATCGGGGCTCCCTCCTAGGACCCTGAGATCATCACCCAAACTGAAGGCAGATGCTTAACTGACTGAACCACCCAGGTGCCCCTAACTTTGTTCTTCTGCATGTGGATACCCTGTTTTCCCAGCACCATTTCTTTAAAGACTACTCATTGAATGGTCTTGGCACACTTGTCAAAAATCTTTTGACCATATAGGTGAGGGTTTATTCTGAGCTCTCTATTCTATTCCATTGATCTATATCTTTGTCTTTATGCTAATGCCAGAGTGTTTTGATTACTGTAGCTTGTAATAAGTTTTGAAATCAGGAAGCATGAATACTCCAGTTCTTTTTCAAAATTGTTTTGGCTATTTGGGTCCCCTGAGATTCCATGTGAATTTTAGAATGGGTTGTCTTCTGGAGCACCTGGCTCAGTTGGTTAAGCATCTGCCTTTGGCGCAGGTCATAATCCTGGAGTCCTGCAATGGAGCCCTATGTCAGGATCCCTGCTCAGCAGGGAGTCTGCTTCTCCCTCTCTCTCTGTCCCTCACCACTGCTGGTGCTCTCTCAAATAAATAAATAAAATCTTAAAAAAAAAAAAAAAGAGCGGATTGTCTTCTATTTCTGCACAAATGTCATTGGCATTTTAATAAGGATTGCACTGAATCTGTAGATCATGTTGGGCTGTGTAAACATTTTAATGATATTAAGTCTTCTAATCCATGAACACAGGATGTATTTCCCTTTACTTAAGTTTTCTTTAATTTTTTTCAGCAATGTTTTGTAGTTTTTAGTGAGCAAGTCTTTCACTTCCTTGGTTAAGTTAATTCCTAACTATTTTATCCTTTTTGACATGATTATAAATGGAATTGCTTTTGTAATTTCCTTTTCAGATTATTTATTGTCTGTGTACAGAAATACAACTGATTTTTGTGTGATTTTATATTTTGCTACTTTACTGAATTCATTTATTCTAATAGTTTTTTTGGGAATCTTTTAGGGTTTCCTTACACATAAGATCATAACATCTATAAAGAGATAATTTTACTTCTTTTTTTCCACTCTGGCTGCCCTTTATTTCTTTTTCTTGTCAAATTGCTCTTACTAGCGTTTCCAGTACTATGCTGAACAGAAGTGATGAAAGCAGGGATCCTTGCTTGTTTCTGTTTCTTAGAGGAAATTCTTTCAGTCTTTCACCACTGGGTATGATGTTTGAGATGGGCTTTTCATATATGGCTTTTATTATGTTGAGGTAGTTTCCTTCTATTGTGAAGTTCCTCCTAGTTTGTGAAGTTTTTTATTATGAAAGGGTGTTCAGTTTTGTCAAATGCTTTTTCAGCATCAATTGAAATAATCTGTGGTGGTTTTTCTTCACTCTGTTGATGTGGAATATCACACTAATTAAGTTTTATATGTTGGACCATCCTTGTAGTCAGGAATAAATCCTACTTGGTTAGGGTATATAATCATTTTAATACATTGCTGAATTCTGTTTGCTAGTATTTTGTTAAAGATCTTTTGAAAAACCAGTATTTGTAAAGGGTATTGGTTTGTAGTTTTCTGTCCTTGTAGTGCTTTTTTTGGCTTTAGCATCAGGGTAATGCTGTTCTCATAAAGTGGGTTAGGAAGTACTCCCTCCTCTTCATTTTCTGGGAAATGTTTGAGAAAGATTGACAGTAATTTTTTTTTTTTAAATGTTTGGAAGAATTCACCAGTGAGGCATGAGAGGCCTTTTCTTTGTAGGGAGGGTTTATGCTTACTAATTCAATATCCTTAATAGTTATTGGTCTAGTCAGATTTTCTCTTTCTTTCCAATTTAGTCTTGCTAGGCTTGGCATTTTTAGCAATTTGTCCATTTTATCAAGGCTATCCAATTTGATGGTAACCGTTCATGATACATTCTCTTTTTATTTCTATAGAATCAGCAGTAATTCTCCCCCCTTCATTTCTGATTTTAGTAATTTCAGTCTTTTTTTCCCTTAGTCTACCTAGCTAAGGTAGGTTTGTCAATTATGTTGATATTTCTGAAGGACCAATTTTTGGTTTCATTGATCTTTCTCCATTGTTTCTCTATTCTCTATATTTTATCTCTGCCTTAGTCTTTATTATTTCCTTTCTTCTGCCAGCTTTGTGTTTAGTTTGTTCTTCTAGTTCCTTACGTTGTAAAGTTAGATTGTTGGTTTGTTCATTCATTCATTCCTTCCCTTGTTCTTAAAACCAAAACATTCATTGTGCAACTAATCATTGAAATTTCTTGTTTTTAATATAAGTATTTACAGCAGTAAATTTCACTTTAGCACTGTTTCCACTGTGCCCCATAGTTTTGGTATGTTGTGTTTTCATTTTCATTCATTTCTAAATACTTTCTAATCTCTCTGGTGATTTCTTCTTTGATCCACTGATTTTTTTTTTTTTTTTTTTTAAAGAGAGATCACAAGTAGGCAGAGAGACAGACAGAGAGAGGGGAAAGCAGGCTCCCCGCTGAGCAGAGAACCCGATGTGGGGCTCGATCCCAGGACCCCGAGACCATGACCCGAGCCGAAGGCAGAGGCTTAACCCACTGAGCCACCCAGGCGCCCCTGATCCACTGATTTTTAAAAAGTGTGTTAATTTCCACAATTCTGTGAATTTTTCAGTTTTCCTTTTGTTACTGATTTCTAACTTTGTCCCATTGTGGCCAGAGAAGATACTTTGTATGATACCTGTCCTTTAAAATCTATTGAGGGGCGCCTGGGTAACTCAATCATTAAGCATCTGCCTTCCGCTCAGGTAATGATTCCAGGGTCCTGGGATGGAGCTCTGCATTGGGCTCTCTGCTCAGCAGGAAGCCTGCTTCTCCCCCTCTCTCTCCCACTGCTTGTGTTTCCTCTCTTGCTGTGTCTCTCTCTGTCAAATAAGTAAATAAAATCTTAAAAAAATCTAATGAGACTGAACTTATAGTTTAACATATGGTCTATCCTTGAAAACGTGCCACGTGCCCTGGAGAAGAATGTATATTCTGTTGTTGGGGAATGTGTTCTGTATGTGTCTGTCAGATCTAGTTGGTTTATCATGGTATCCAGGTCCTCTATTTCCTTACCCTCTGTCTGGTTGTTCTCTCCATTATTGTGAGTGGGGTACTGAAGTCTCTATTATTGCAGAACTGTCTATTTCTCCTTCATTTCTGTCAGTTTTGCTTTATATATGTATTTTGACGGTCTGTCAATAGGTGCATAAATGTTAATAATTGTTCTATCTTCTTACTGTATTGAACCTTTTATTAATACAGTGTCCTTCTCTGTTTTAACTTTTTTTCAAATTTAAAGTCTATTTTGTCTGATGTCAGTATAGTTTTCCCAGCTTTCTTTTGGTTACTATTTGCATGGAATATCTTTCCATTCTTTCACTTTCAATTTCACTTTCACTGTTTTTTTGAATCTCAAAGAAGTCTTTTCTAGCCAGCATATAGCTGGAGCATGTGTTTTTATCCATTCTGCCAATCTCCAGCTTTTGATTATAGAGTTCAATTCACTTACATTTACAGTAATTACTGATCAGGAGGGACTTTTGTCACTGTGCTATTTCTTTCCCATACGCCTTAGAGCTTTTGTCCCTCTTTTCCTTCATTCTTGTCTTTCATGTTAAATTGATTTTTTTAATAGTGAAATGTTTAAATTGCTTTCCCATTTTCCTTTTGTGTATATTCTGTAACTATTTTCTTGGTGGTTACCATGGAAACTACATTTAACATCTTAAAATTGTAACACTCTGATTTGGATTCCTAGCAGCTTAATTTCAATAATACACAAAAACTCTGCTCTTCTAAAGCTCTGTATCCATCCTTTTTGGATGTAACAAAATTACATTTTTATACACTGTCTTCCCCAAAATATAGACTAATAATTCTTTCAAGTGCCTTAGTCTCTCAAATTATGTAGCAAACAAAAAGTGCAGTTACAAATCATTGTTACAATACTATTAGCTTTTATAATTGCCCATGTATTTTACTGAGATCTTTTATTTCTCCTATGGCTTTGAATTATTGGCTAGTGTCCTGCCATTTCCCCCGGAGGACTTCTGAGCATTTTCCACTGGGAAGCATCTAGTGGTTATGAACTCCCTCAGCTTTTGTTTATCTGGGAATGTCTTCATTTCTCCCTCACTTTGGACAATGGCTTTGCTGGATATAAGACTGTTGGTTGATTTTTTTCTTTAAGCACTCTGTATATACAGATCTCCCCCACTCTCTGAAAGTAGAGCATTCCTGTGAAACCTTTTGTAAGCTGAAAGTGTATAAACTAAAAAAACAATTGAAGCATTTTATAAAAGCGAAAAATCTTCTTTGGATTTCTTTCAGTTAGCTAAAACAGATATTAATGTTGGTCCTTCATAAAAAGTGAAGTGGTATAAAGCAAACTTTCAGAGAGTGGGGTGGAAAGCTGTATTGGCCAACTATCTTCTGGCCACCAAAGTTTCTGATGAGAAATATACTGCAGATCTTAGAGAATCTCTTGTATATAGTGACTAATTTCTCTCTTGTCACTCTGTCTTTGGCTTTTGAAAGTTTGATTATAGTATGTCTTGGTGTGGGTCTCTTTTTAAAGCTGGGCTGCCTGAATGTTTATATTCATGTAATTCCTCAAATTCGGGGAGTCTCAGCCATTATTTCTGCAATTATTTCTTCTGCCCCTTTCTTTCTCTCATCTCCTTTGGGGACTCCCCTAGTGCATATCTTGGTCCACTTGACAGTGTCCCACAAGTCTCTCAGTCTCTGCTTTTCTTCAGTCTTTTTTCTTTTTGTTCCTCAGGCTTGACACCATCCTTTGTCCTATCTCCAAGTTTGCTGATTCTTTCTTCTGTCTGTTCAAATCTGCCATTGAATCTTCTAGTGAATTTTTCATTTAAGTTATTGGAATTTTTGGCTCCAGAATTTTTTGTTTGTTTCACTTTAGGTTTTCCAGCTCTTTATTTATCTTTCCATTTTTGCTCACATATTGTATTCTTGACTTCTCCATATCTTCTTTTAGTTTTTTGAGCATTTTAAAGCAGTTTTTTAAAAGTCTTTGGTATATCCCCTTCTTTTTCTGAGACAGTTTCTGGTGATTTCTTTCTTTAATCTGAATGGGCCATACCTTCCTGTTTCTCTGTATGACTTGTGATTTTTTGTTGTTGTTGTTGAATACTGGACATTTGAATCTAATAATGTGGTAACTCTGGGAATCAGATTCTGTCCCTTTCCCAGGGTCTGCTGCTTTTTGTTAAGGTTTTTGTTTATTGTTTTCTTGATTGTTATAGGCTGTCTCTGTGCTGACGATCAGCCTGAGATGTAAACTTAAGATCCTGTCAGGTCTTTTATGAGCCATTTCCTGGGCCTGCACTGTCATTTTATAATTCTCTGTATATGTAGTTTTGGAATATCGTAGTTTAATGTCTGGCTCCCCAAAGGGAAAAAGCTAAGAATGAAGGAGGTGGGTAAGGAGGCTAGCCCTTTAGGTCCCCTGGAAGTCACTTTAGCATGCAGGGAGCTTGTGACAAAGCAACAATAATCACTGCTTCTTTGTCTACACCTTTGGATTCCGATGTAGCAGAGGACAGATTCCCAATATTTGGAGGACAGGGTCCTTTTTGCCCACCCTAGCTCCTGGAAGCTATGTGCAAGCTGTTTCAGGAACATTGCTACCTGCCTTGTGGCTGGCATGGGGCATGAGTAGCTCCCATTGTGCTAAGAGCTAAAAGTGACTGAAATTAACCACAATTTTCCACCTAAATCTTCCTCTGGAAGTTGCAAGCCTTCAACAAACTCAGAGTTCCAAAGGACTTACATCAGACAAATTCTGCCAGTACAACTGTTGTCCAGGTGGGAGACAGATTCCTGATGCTCCTTATTCCACCATCTTCCCAGAATCCTCTCCCTTAATGTTGTAATTTCTTAAATCTTTTATAATGATTTTATATACAAAAAGATTATTAAAAACATTTAGAAATGTGGTGCCTGGATGGCTCATTTGGTTGGGTATCTAACTCTTGATTTCAGATAGATTGTGATCTTGGGGTCATGGGATCAAGCCCTGCATCAGTCTCCACACTTGGTGCAGAGTCTGCTTAAGATTCCTTCCCTCCGCACCTTCTCCCACTCACACTCTCTTTCCCTCTCTCTCTCAATCTCTCTAATAAATAAATAAATAAATAAATATTTTTAAAAAAAGCATCTAGAAATCACTTAACTTTAGATCTGTGTTCAGAACCTATGAAGAGTTATAAAGGCATTTTTACTATCCATACATGTATGTGGGTATGGATATGTGTATATGTGTGTGGGCCTGGGAATGATAACAAATGTGATTATTTAGGGCTCCCAGCTTAAATTCAGACAAGAAGGTAAATTAATCTAAAAAGTACAGACAGTTGACTTATTCCCTGCAACTATTATCTGTAAACCTGAAGGTGAATGATCTGTTATAAGAACCTGAGGCCCAGTTATCAGTTCAGCCCTACCTCATCATGTCACTTTAGGAATATATCAATATTCCTGCTCCTGATTAGGGAAAATTCCAGGGTTAGTTTTCTACGCTAAATGATCACAAAGCACTTTGGGACTCCCTATTCTCGGTCCAGTGTGTTTTTGAAGGAATCTGACGCTAGCTCTTTGTACCACAAATACTCACTCTTCCTCGTGGACACAGCCTCTACTAAGGGATCTTCAAGGAAGGAGGGAGACACACTGCTGCTGCTGGTTGACTTGTGTAGAGTTTCCTCCTGAGAAAGGTGGGGACAGAGAAATAGACTCCTAAGACATTAGTGCTTTCATGCTAATAAATTTTACTACTACAGATTTATTTCAGTGTGAAGCACCAAATTATGTCAAAGGTTCAAGGCAACTAGAAGACATAGAAGGTATCTAAAATTAGACAAGCCTGGGTTTGTGTTCTGGATTTGTCCCTCATTAGATCGATGTGATACAACAAGTTTCTCATCTTTCATCATTTGGTGTTTAATACCATCTTTACACTGTATTATTGGATCAGATGAGAAAATATGCTCAAAAATGCTTAACACATTACCAGGCACATAGTAAATGGTGGTTATTATCATTATTAGAGAAATATTTAACACATTTATAAAAGTAATAGATTGGTAAACTGCATGAAGGTAGATGCTATGGGCCTCATTCATTGTTGTCAGCAACAAACCTACTGTTAGTAAGTGATGAATAAATATTAATATTTGTTGAATAGATGAAAATAAACATTTCATAAGATATTGTATGAATCTAGAAAAATGTCTACATTATGCAAAATAAATTTTAAATTTCTATTACCAATCAGATGAGACCGTAATTTGTTTCAGATTATACCCAGATGAACTACACTATTTACTCAAGAAAAATTTATTATCTACCATGTGATTGAGGATATACATGAACCACATAAAAACGTATGTCCATAATATCTACAGAAAATTGCTAAATATTTTTAAAAGTGGAAGAAAGAAAATTATTTTAAGATATTCGCCTATGACTATGTGAGAGAAATCATGAAAATTCTCTCTGACCTACTTATTTAAGGCGACTTTGAGAACTAACTTAGCCATTCACAAAAAATGGCCTTATCTAAAACCTACTGCTAAAAGCACTGGTTTCACGCAAGCTACCATACAAAGGATCTGGTCAAAGGACAGGAGATGAAAAAAGGGTGTAAACCACACAGTTCCAACAAAGAAGGTCTGAACAGTGACCTCCCCACTCCTGGTACATACTATGAAGAATAAATCAAGCAATGTAACCAAAGCCCCAACCCCGAACGCGGTGTAGAGGTCACACAAATCTCCAGAAGAGATAGTGCGCAACTAGAACGCCCTCCTTCTGCCTATGGAAGGCCGAAAGGAAATAAAAGCCAAAAGTATCTCTTAGGAAAAGAAAAAGGAGCCATACACAGTAGTCCCAAAAAATTATGAGGTGGGTGCCACCTTGATTTTAACAGCAGAAACCACCACACACCACCTCACATACCTCAGCCCACCTTCCCCAGAAACATTTTTAAAGCCCAATTTTACAGAATTCTGAGCATGTCTACATGTTCCACACCATTCCTCTCTACTGTTCTGACTTGCTCCCACTGTGAACAACGAAGAGCCCATCCTGGGGCAGCCGGGTGACTGCAAGTTAGTTAGTAAGAGACAGAGAAGTGGTGAGGACACTGGCACGGTGCAAGGCCTTTGGGATTTGCTCCCAGAAGCAGCTGGGGGTCCTCTGCCCCTGCATGCCCACCACAGGCAGCTGCACCCAACTTCTCACTACTTGAAAACTAGTCTTCGTTAGGCTCAGTTCCTGGCCCAGGGGAATCACAAAGACGTTCAGAAGGTACCAGGGAACTTGGGAGGTCAGATCTCCTCAGAGAGAAGTCAGTGGATATGGACTCTTACTCTGCTTGCCCCGTCACGTCCATTCCCTCGACTAAACACTTTTGGCCTGGCTGGGGGATCCTGATGGTCTCTGATCTCTCAAACGACTGCCAGGCCTGCTCTCTGAAACTTGCTTGTTTGTATTGTCTGATCCAGTTACTAGTCTCTGACACTCACTAAACTAGGCCTTTTCTAGTTCTACATCCTGACCAGTGACTCTTAACCAGGTCCTTGTTGGAACAAGGTCACTTCCGGAACTCCTACTGCTCCTTCACTGCCGCTTTGTTCCAAGGGTGGTACTGAAGGCTGCCAGACCAGCATCGTCTCAGAAACCAGTCTGGGTGATTAAAGAATAATTCCTTAATTCTAACTTGGATGAATATGAAGTGGATGGAGCCAGCAACCACGACAACAAACAGAAGCCGGGAGGCTGGCTGTGTGTGTTTATTGTGTCTGGCAGGCCCTGAGGGAAGAGGGAGGCAAGGATGTAATTTCATTTTACACAGTGGAGATACACAATACTGATGCTGTAGACAAAGGGCTGGAGAGAGACTTGGGAAGCACCAGCACCCTGAGAGTTTCTGGAAAACAGACAGGACGTGCGAGATCTTCCTCCAAAGGGCAGCAGGGGAAAGATGAAATCTGGAGAAGCCTAGCAGAGTTTTCTTTTGCAGACACGTCCATTGGTATTTCTATTACCAAAAGAACAAGCTTCACTATGGGTAGGTGTGAGTGTGAGAGAGAGAAGAATCCATGGAAAAATATTTTTCTTTTTCCTTCCCCAAAACAAAGGGAATATCCTAAAGATTATACGTTTGCATTTTTTAAATTTATTTTTAGTACCGTAATCTAAGACCATACAAATATTTCTGAACTTATTCTATCAACTATGACCACTGTACTGGTCTTTCCTGAAAAATAGTAAGTAACCCACTGTTTCATTTCCTGCTAAACAAATGAATTTCAATCCCACCTTTATTGATTGAAAGATGGGAAGAGATTAAGCAACAACCAAGGACACATGGCTAGTAAACGAGGTCAGAGAGGGCTTGCACTCTGAACATGGAGTTAAGAGGTGTGAACCAGGTGGTCATGGGACCCACCTCGGAGTCAGAGCTGTCCAGCTCAGCCAGGGTTGGGGCTTTGAGGAGTTTCTTCCGCTGCAAAGGCATGTGCTGTGCCGCACTCAACCCATTTTCTTTCGTTTGTGATGTTAAACCTCCATTCACCATCGATGATTCCACAGCATTCTTTGGAGATTCAGGGGTAATTACATCTGGTAAAAGAAAGGCAAAAGTTTACCTTTTCTCAAGCTAAGAAAGGTAATCAGTAGACCAAATGCACTTTCCTTTTTTTTTTTTTTTTTTCAAATGCACTTTCCTAAGTACCTGCACTTGGGAGCACAAACCACACAAGCCAGGTGACATGGCATTTCCATGTCACACAAATATAACACAGAGGCTTGATATAATAATGCCTAGGTATATAAAACATTTTTGTTAGATATTAACTGCCAGGTTAAAGAGAACATTTACATGAATACTAGATTCACATTTATACACTAGAATTTAGAGCTGGAAGGAATCCAGATAACTGACTATAACTTCTTAATCTTGCAGAGACCCAGAGAGGCTAGTTTCACTTTATAGTCTCCAAAGAGCTAGTGACGGATGGACCAAAGTGGTGGCATGCGCAAAGCCATAGCAGGTATATGACTTTAAGATTTGAGAATGGTCTAATTTAAAAATCAAAATTGTGAATAATCTATAGTTATAAAAACATGAACACAAAGAACCTGGGATACGTTTGCTTTGATAAAGCTGATTTAGATGATCCAGAACTCAGATCTGGGTGCGAAGGCAATACAAGAGATCAAAGAAATGTGGCAGCAGAGTACAGAGTATGCAGAGCCCAGAGCCCAGAGTACGCAATGTATGAGTACAGAGCATGGGGTCTATAGAATATGTCATACAGCACAGAGTATAGAGAGTATAGTGCACAAGGTACACAGAGCACACAGGACAGACTACGGAATATACAGGATATAGCATACAGTACAGAGTATAGGTCAGAGTATATTTTTTGTAAGTGAAAGAATTTATTTTGAATATGCATATTATTCATTCAATTTAATTTTTCATAGTGCATAGCTATGTATGGAAGTTTACAGGGAGAAATAAACATTAGAAATACCTAAGGACGGAAGTATACAGGCAAAGAAGACACTCAATACATACTCGTGAACAGGCTTAGAAGCATCACAGGACAGCATCCATTAGGAAAGAATGACAGCCATGCAAAAAATCTATCCAAACCACGGGAGGCCAATGCAATCAGTATAAGTTATAGCTTCTTGTACAGGACAAAAGTATCCATGTTCTTTGGATTGAAAACATAATATAAATAAATATGGCTTGGTTTTTATGTCCAAGTCACAAATCATCTATAGAAGTAATAAGTGCGGATGCTGCATGTGATAAGAAAACATTAAAGGCCATAGTATATAATCTAGAGTATGTAGTACAGAGGGGAGTACAGAGATACAGTAGTACAGGGAGTACACAGAGCACAGTGTATACTGTATAGAATACAGACTAGAGACTAGAGCACAGAGGATAGAGTACAGATCACAGAACACACAGAGTGTGTACAGTAAGCGGTATAGAGTATACACAGAATGCAGTATATAGTGGGCACAGAGTACAGGGCATAGAGTATACAGAACAGTGTACAGACTACATATAGAGTACAGAGTACAGAATATATAGTACAGAGTACAGACTAGAGAGTTCAAAGCATAGAGTACAGAATACAGAAGAAGAGTATTGAGTACATAGTACAGGGAACAGGTTATAGAGTTTAGAGCACACAGCACAGAATAGAAAGTACGGAGTATATAGAGTACAGAGTATACCTTACTATAATGTAAGATGCAGATGATTTGGGTTCAAAGTCTAGCTCTGCTGCTACCTGTCTGACCATGAGCAAACTGCCTAACCTCTTGTTTCATCATCTGTAAAATGGGCCTAACGACAGACATGGGCTCCTTTTGAAGATGAAATGAACAAGTGCATATAAAATACTTACTCAATACTGTGTGTACTAAAGGTAACACACAATAAACGTTGGCAATTACGGACACTGATTTTTACCTCCATTTGTATGTAAATCGAGGCTCAGGGAGACTCAGCCAGTCACCCAGCTAGCATGTGGTGCAGCTGATACTTGATTCTTTGTTAGTATTGATCCTAAAGGCCACCTTTTTGCCCTTGTATCCTGTACTCACTCTTTCAATGCAAGTGGAACCAATTTTCTTCAGTATTTCAAATGATGTGTCAAACACAAAGTTTAAAACTAACAAATTAGAGCAATTAAAAGCGAAAAAAATAAAAGTAAAAAAAAAGTAGTCACTGCATAATTTAATTTACAGAACAACAACATGAAACTGATCTTTGCACATGGAACAGTCTGTGAAACTCCTGTGGTTGAAAGTAAAGGGTACACTAAGCATGAAAGTGAAATAAGACAGGATGGAGGGAAGGAAAGCACTGTAACTGCAGTTACTGTAAAATATAGCAATTTCCCTCCCAACATACAATTTTTATACGCTTGCAGTGTAAGCGGTGGGTTTCCAGGAAACATTCAGTGAATAAGCATGTTCTAGTATAGCCTTACTTGACATTATTAAAATAACCATGTAAATTATTATAAATGATATTCATCTAGTTTAATATTTATACTTTTTGCTATTTTTAGAGATCAAGAAGGTCAGAGCACATGCCCCTGTGAATGAGAAGAAAGGGTCTGAGTAAGCAAGGAAGGAGGGAGGAAAGGAAGAAAAGGAAGACGGGCAGATCTGTCAATCATTTATTTAACACAGAAATTTTCATAAAAAATTTGACAAGACGTGTTACTTTTCTTATTACCCTTCCAGATGTTAAGCAGCTATAACAAAAACATAACTGGGGGAGAGGCTGTGCTGAGGGGGACTAAAGGGCAAAAGCAGCAAGTTTTTACACAAATTTAAAGGTTAAAAGCTTTAAATAAATCTTTTTTAGGGGGGTATAGAGAGCAGTAGGCTGACACACTTCACAGAATAATTGAGAAGTTCTCCAGAAAGCAAAGAAGGAAAAGATTAGGCTAACTGATTAATTTCTATTCAAGAAAAAAGGTAGTGTTCAAATACAGTATTGAAGCATATTTTAAAAGATCTTATTCTATAGTTATCTTATTTTATACACTTCCTATAGAATTGCTCATGTGTTGTAGGTGTTAGGCTTTCAAGAGAAAGCATACAGTTAAAACACACACATCTTTGTCTCCTCTTAGCTGCCCAGATTCCAGTCCAGTTGTCCACACTGCAGGTACCACAAGAAGGGAAACCATCGGCTTTCCGAGGTGGGTCTCACGTTTCCATTCCTCCAAGAGCTTCCCTATGGCCGAGACCACTAGTGGTGCATGGAGGAATACTGAAAGTTTTAATGGTTATATATTTAATGCTTCAGAAAAAATTATATCAGATGTGTGGCTTTATGGATGTTTTTCCTTAAGAAAATTTTTAAATAAAAGGTCATTGATAGTATATTAATATAATTTAAATAATGCTGGAGGTACTTAAAGCCTGGCAAAAATCTGACCTAAAGTTTAGGGAATACTGCTGAGTGACTGGGGCTGTTGTGAGTTCATTTCATTCTCAATGCAGGAGATCTGAGAAATGACCCAATAGCTCTCTACTTGTCCGAACACTACTATGAAGTTGATAATTGTGTTTGAGCTCATTGACTGAAACTGAACTCTTTGACTGAAATAATAACCTTGTACTGAATTCAAAGCTTTGAGATAAATCGCGTTGATAAAAAAATTATGTAACAGGTTTCAGGATGATCTCCACATTTAAGACTAAATACTGTGTGTGATTTTACCTCATACTATATATTTGTAAAAGACTCAGTGGAACATATCTTTAAGAGAAATTTTTAAGTACTTTGATTACTAATAACTTTCTGTTCCAATGAAGAAATCCTTATTATTACTTCAATGTATCAAGTGAAAAAACCAAGGATTTGACCAAGACTTTATACTTCTATATAAGATGGAATGTCTTGAGAAAAAACTGGTGATATTTATAAATAAGCAAAAACATTTAAGATGCTAGATATGGCTTCAGAAGTCACATACCTCAGGTTCAATCTAAAATGCATAACCATGATATTAAATACTTTTTGTAATATCTTTATATATGTTAGATTCACCCAACTGCTTGGAGGAAATATGACTGTGATAGAGATTACATATTTATTGTTTGCACTGCAAAAATAAATTATACTTACCTTAAAGTTGAATGGATTGTTAAGATTTTCCACTAGCATTAATATTTCTAAGACATACTTAAGCAGCAGAATATACTTCATTATGTCTTATTCTATATTTAAGTTCAGAGGCATTATCTATACTACACATTTAAATACTTGCTCCTTAGTGTGTTAATTTCCCAACTTCGAGAAGAACTGTATTCCAATCTTTTTATTTAGGTTAAAAGGATGGATTAATTTTTTCCATTTATTATTTGGGATATTTTAATTGATTAGTAAAAATACAACAATGAAAACATAAAAATAGCTAGCACAAGAAATTGAGAATGAAGCATGTGGAAATCATGAAGTGCACTGAAAGTAGCAAACGAAAAGCAGTTGAAAGCCAATACAATTTTTTGCTACTCTTCTATATCAGGGAGGTTAGGAGCTTTCCTCGCAAATGAGAAGCCACCATATAACTTATAATGCACTTATATATAACGTGTGTGCGGGCATGCAAACTGTCCAGAGCAGCCACCTGCACTTAATTTATGTTAGACAACAGTCAATGTGTTTAGATAGCCAGCCACTTCCCTTGTAGTCCAACTGATGGAAACATCTCCAGAAAAAGACACAGTTTTTAAAATATACACTGCCAACCTCTGGAGAGTATCAGTAACAAATATGTACCAAAACATTTCTGAGTTTATTTTCCAGAACATTTTGGTAAGGTTTTTCTTTTTCTTTTTTTACAACATTTACTCTGCAAATGGTTGTAAAATAAAAATTTTCAAATGGATAAAGAAAATAGAAAAAGCTCTTCAGTGGTCAGTCAAAAGTAGTAAGTGAAGATTGTAAAATATTTATCTGAGTTTTTTAAAAGCACAAGTGCCAGTGATACCTGAGACCTGCAAATATAAACAGAAATTTAAAAACAGTTGGGAACTAGTTAGCAATGGGAAGGTGCTCAGTAAATTTTCATAAACAGAATAGGATACAAGAACTATTTGGCTCTTTAAATACGAATTTGTATATAAGCTATGACAAAAATTTCAGGGCATATGAAAGAAAACTGGAAGAAAATATTAGTGTCAACATTTTATCTCATTTTACATTCAAAACAACAATTTCCAGGGGCACCTGGGTGGCTCAGTTGGAGTCTGCCTTTGGCTCAGATCAGGATCCTAGCATCCTGGGATCGAGCCCCATATAGAGCCCCACATCTGGCTCCCTGCTCAGCCAGAAGCCTGCTTTTACCTCTACCTCTGCCCCGCCCCTGCTCATGCTTGCACTTTCTCTCAAATAAATAAAATCTTAAAAAAAAACAAAAACAAAAACCCAGCTTCCAAAATGAAAAATTCTAACTTGCAGAATATTTTATTTGAATTAAGTTGGCTTTGAAAATTCACTCATATATAAAAGCTCCATTTAAAAAGAGACTGATATTAGAGATCAAATTTAGTCATTAATGGTTATGTTTCACTATTAATCGCTGTCCATTTAACAGCAGGGATCTAAACTTGTACTATAAACCCAGAACACACTAATTATACAGTTGATCCTTGAACAAGGCCAGACAGGAGTTAGGGATACAGACTTCCACCCCAGTCAAAAATCTGCAAATAACTTTTGACTCTCCAAAAACTTAACTACTAATTAAGCCTACTGTTGACTGGAAACTCTACTGATAATATAAACATCCAACTGATGCATATTTTGTATGTTATATGTATCATATGTGTGTGTGTGTGTGTGTATTCTGTAATCTTAAAATAAAGCTAGAGAAAAAATTTTTTAGAGAAAAGAAAATATTAAGAAACTCATAAGGAAGAGAAAATGCATTCACAGTCCTCTAGGCACATTTACTGAAAAAAATCTGTGTAGGCAGGTGAGGCCAGGCTGGAGGCAGCCGTGGGCCTGGTACCATGATGAATGTGATATTTTGCAGCCTGGGGGCCTTGGAAGAGTCAGCTGCCTGGTGGGCAGGCAGCCACAATGGCCTGGGTATGCAGTACAGCTGCCCCATTGGCCTGCAAGGGCGGCCACCCATGACTGGGAGGGATGGAGTCCATGGTTGGTAGGGGTGGCCCCAGGCCGGCAGCAGCCCGCACAGCCCCTGAGCTCCGCGTGTGGAGGACTAGGGAGCAGGGGTGATGGGCGTGTGGGCTCCCTGTGCAGCACCATCCTGCTCTCTGGGACATGCCTTGCTTCAGCTCAGCATCCTGTCCACCAGCCCTGGGTGTAGACCACCCTGTCGGCAACAGGGGTCAACCTGCAGTGCTTTTCAGTCTTGGGTCCCTGGGAGCTGCTGACAACTTCAACAGGCCTCCCTGGGCCGTCATGGGTCCTCGGAGGGCAGCAGGTTAGTTGCCTTCCATTTAGTCTGATGAAGACTGGGGTGGACAGTTGTAAATAAATGTGTAGCTTTTGCCGTCAACTCTTAAATTAAAAAAAATTCCTATAAGTGGACCTGAGCAGTTCAAATCCATGTTGTTCAGGGTCAACTGTATTTTACAACCAAAGCCATTAGAACATATCTGTATTTTTATACTCTCAAATAGCGCTCAGAAGCATTCACGACCAGGCTCTATCCAGAGGGAGCGCTGGGACACCAAAGACAGCTCCTGCCTACCAACTGAGGAACGGTGATCCTCAGAAGCAGCTGACAGCTTTGACTCTAATTACTTAAATATCTGAATGCTTAAGAGATTAAGTGTCAAAACTTTGTTTCTTGAAATTTGTTTCTATTCTCTTAAGGCAAAGCTCTGTTTTAGATTTTGACATCACTGCTTTAGAAGAGTGTGGGTGAGGGAGTGCCTGGGTGGCTCAGTAGGTTAAACATCTGGCTTCAGCTCAGGTCATGATCCCAGCGTCCTGGGATGGAGTCCTGCACTGGGCTCCCTGATCAGTCGGGAGTTTGCTTCTCCCTCTGCCCCATCCCCTGCTTGTGATTTCTCTCTCTCTCAAATAAATAAATAAAATCTTAAAAAAAAAAGGTGGGGGGAAGAAGAAGAAGAGTGTGGGTGAGAAACAGTGATGGTAAGGATGGGCGGTCAAATTCCATAACCACAGGGATGGCATAATGATTCTTCTATAATCCCTCCTAGGCAACAGATTTATTATTGTTTTAATTTTTTTAAGCACATGGTTTTCAAATAAGCAGAATGTTTTATCTTACTGACCACAGCTTAGAAGAAGCCTTTCAATTTTCTTCTTTGACATGTTTGGACAAGCAGATGAATGAAATGTTTTCACAGAAACCACAAAACCCATGTCAAGTGTGAAAGAGCTTTTTTTTTTTTTTTTTTTTTACCTGACAAGTCAAAACTGTAAGACATGCTAAGTGGCCGCATTGCTGAAAAAAGAAAACAAACAATAAAAAGAAAATAATTCAGCTATTAGGAATATATAGGGAGGACAAAAAAGGGAGGAGGATTCAAGAAGACCGTAATGGCACATTTCAGACTTTAAGGCAGAAGGTAGAGAATAAAAATTGGGAACACAACAAAACCATGAATCTTAGTTTCAATTATATCACTAAGACTTGAAATGGAGTAACAATAAAAGAAAAAAAATAACAACTTTTTAAAGAACTTGTTAAGCATGACAGCATGATACAGATACAAAACATTTTAAAGAAACATAATACAGGATTTTGGCTTAAATATAACATGACTTTAGGGTACAAAATTTTTTAAATTTAAGAATAAATGTGTTCTTAAGTAATTTATTTCAGGATGAAAATCTGACCAAAATCTCTGCCCAAGGTGAAATACTTGATAAAAAATCTCCTTTGGAACTAGTTTCACAATGTATCACTATACTGCCAATTGCAGGCAATGCAACCTAGCAGCTGCAGAGAGGCCCCAGGAGCCAGAATGTCCGAGTTTGAATCTCAGCTCTGCCACTTACTAGCAGTGTGATTCTGGGAAAGTTACTTAACCTCTCTATGCTTCAGTTACTTAATCTGTAAAATGGGAAGAATGGTATTTATCTCATGAGATTGTTAATGAAGATTAAATGACCCTACCAAAAAAAGGTGCTTGCACATAGCAAACACTGCTTCACACATAGTAGAAGTTCAATAAATATGGTTTCTTAAAAACAAACTTACTTATTTCCTATTGAAAAAATTAGTCCTAAAATTTTTATTACATATGCTTAAAACCACTGAATTGTATAGTTTATATGGGTGAATTTTATGGTAGATAAATTATGCCCCAAAAAAGGTATTTTTGAAAAAGCTTACTACAAAGATTTGATTAATTTGGGTATTCATGACAGTGAAGTTAACTATTTTTGCTGCAGCCCAAAATTCTTTTTTTTTTAAATGAGGAAAATTTTAATACATTTTTGAAAAACAGAAAAGTAGACTTGAACAAAAGAAAAGACATATCCTGTTATAGGATAAGATTAGCCAAATTCATAAACTTTGGATGGCAATTCTCCAACTTCATTTTATTAATGCAAATGTGATCCCAATTTTATTATTAATTAATTTTATTAACATATGATATATTATTTGCCCCAGGGCAGCCCAAAAGTTTTATCAGTGCCATCTATTCTATGACCTGGGCTGAGGTAGGACAGGCACCTTTACGATCAGGAGATGACAGAACCTCAGATACAGTGGGGATGGAAGTATAGGCATAATGGACAGAATGTCTCCCCAGTTCATGTCTTCCAGGTAGACTGCCTGTAGAGTTCTAACACCTAAATTTAATAGACTGTAAGTACTCTCAATACGTTTTTTTGGCAGATGTTTTTAAAGAAATAATTTATACTTAAAATCCAAAATCCCAACACACTATTAAAAAAAAATGATGTGAAGGTAAAGCATTGGGTTAGATCCCAACTACAACTAGGCAAGATGTTGGAATCATAGGTAGCTGTTTTTAAAAGCACTTATGTCAACAAAGGAGATGTGTGTCTTAAAGGGGGCAAATAAAGCAATTATTTGTTGACAATCATTGTTCGATGACCAAGAAATAATATTTTAAGTATTTCATTCTAGTAAGTAAATTAGGATGTAACCTTTAAATAAGCATCTTACTGTTTTAGTTATCTACAGAAAAGTAGTTAGGAATTTTATACTGATGAGAATAATCCTCCACTTACTGCTTTAAAAAAACCCCTACATTTCTTGTAGAAATACTTTTCTAGATATGTCTCCTCAGGTAAGGGACATAAAAGCAAAAACAAGCTAATGGGACTACACCAAAATAAAAAGCTTTTGCACAGTGAAGGAAACCATCAATGAAACTAAAAGGCAACCTACTGAATGGGAGAAGGTATTTGCAAATGATATAACAGATAAGGGGTTAATACCCAAAATATATAAAAAACTTAAGTAACTCAACACCAAAACCCCCAAATAATACAATTAAAAATGGGCAGAGTTTATGAATAGACATTTCTCCAAAGAAGACATCCAGATGGCCAACAGACACATGAAAAGATGCTTACCATCACTCATTATCAGGGAAATGCAAATCAAACCCACAATGAGATATCACTTCACACCTGTCAGAATGGCTAAAATAAAAATATAAGAAACAACAAGTGTTGGCAAGGATGTGGAGAAAAAAGAACACTTGTGCACTGGTGGTGGGAATGTAAACTGTTGCAGCTACTATAGAAAACTGTATGCAGGTTCCTCAAAAAATTAAAAATAGAATTACCATATGATCCAGTAATTCTACTACTGGATATTTATCCAAAGAAAATGAAAACATTAATTTGAAAAGATATATGCTCCTCTATGTTTACTGCAGCATTATTTACAATTGCCAAAAGATGGAAGTAGCCCAAGCGTCCATCAACTGATGAATGGATAAAGAAGATGTGGAATGGATAAAGAAGAAGAAAAGAAGATGTGTGTGTTTGTGTATATACAGCCACACAATGGAATATTGTTCAGCCATAAAAAAGAATGAAATCTTACCATTTGCAACAACATGGATGGATTTAAAGGATATGATGTTAAGTGAAATATGTCGGTTAGAGAAAGACAAATACCGTATTTGGAATTTAAGAAACTAAACAAACAAAGGAAAAAGAGACAAAGAAAAAAGATCCTGGTGGTTACCAGAGGGCAGGTGGGTGAGGGGATGGGTAAAATAGGTGAAGGGGACAAAGAGAACATTTAACCTAATGAGCACTGAGAAATGTATAAAACTGCTGAATCATTATATGTACACCTGAAACTAATATAACAGTGTAGGTTAACTCTACTTGAATTAAAAAAACCTACCTATTTAAAAAATTCTGCATTTCTGTAAAAGGCATCCAAATCAGCAAAGAAGTCAAACTCTCACTCATCACAGATGACATGATACTCTATGTGGAAAACCCAAAAGACTCCACCCCAAAATTGCTAGAACTCATACAGGAATTCAGCAAAGTCACAGGATATAAAATCAATGCACAGACATCAGTTGCATTCCTATACACTAACAATGAGAGAGAAGAAAGAAAAATAAAGGATCCCATTTACAAGTGCACCAAAACCCATAAGATACCTAGGAATAAATGCTCATGGATTGGAAGAACAAATATTGTTAAAATGTCTATTCTGCCTACAGCAATCTATACATTCAGTGCAATCCCTATCAACTTTCTTCACAGAACTGGAACAAATAATCCTAAAATTTGTATGGAGCCAGAAAAGACCCTGAAGAGCCAATGGAATGTTGAAAAAGAAAACAAAGCTGTTGGCAGCACAATCCTGAAGTTCAAGCTTTATTATAAAGCTGTGATCATTAAGACAGCATGGTACTGGCACAGAAGCAGACACATAAATCAGTGGAACAGAATACAGAACTCAGAAATGGACACTCAACTCTATGGTCAACTCATCCTCAACAAAGCAGGAAAGAATGTCCAATGGAAAAGAGATGGTCTCTTCAACAAATGGTTTTGGGAAAACTGGACAGCCACATGCAGAAGAATGAAACTGGGCCATTTTCTTACACCACACACAAAAATAGACTAAAAATGGATGAAAGAGTTAAATGTGAGACAGGAATCCATCAAAATCCTTGAGAAGAACACAGGCAGCAACCTCTGTGACCTTGGCCTGCAACTTCTTGCTAGACACGTCTCCAAAGACAAGGGAAACAAAGACAAAAATGAACTATTGGGCCTTCATCAAGAGAAAAAGCTTTTGTACAGCAAAGGAAATAGTGGACAAAAACAAAAGACAACCAGTGGAATGGGAGAAGATATTTGCCAATGTGTAATCAGATAAAGGGCTAATATCTAAAACCTATAAAGAACTTATCAAACTCAACACCCAAAGAACAAATAGTCCAATCAGGCAGGGTGCCTGGGTGCCTCAGTTGGTTAAGTGCCTGCCTTCGGTTTGGGTCATGATCTCAGTGTCCCGCCTTGGGCTCCCTGCTCAGAGAGGAGTCTGCTTCTCCCTCTTCCTCTCCCCCTACCCCCTGCTCATCTCTCTCTATCAAATAGATAAAATCTTTTTTAAAAATCCAATCAGGAAATGGGCAGAAGACATGACAGACATTTCTCCAAAGAGGACATACAAATCAAATGGCCAACAGACACATGAAAAAGTGCTCAACATCGGCATCTGGGAAATACAAATCAAAACCACAATGAGATATCACTTCACACCAGTCAGAATGGCTAAAATTAACAAGTCAGGAAATGACAGAGGTTGGCAAGGATGTGGAGAAAGGGGAACCCTCCTACACTGTTGGTGGGAAAGCAAGCTGGTGCAGCCACTCTGGAAAACAGTATAGAGGTTCCTCAAAAAGTTGAAAACAGAGCTACCCTATGACCCAGCAATTGGACTACTAGGTATTTATCCCAAAGATACAAATGTAGTGATCTGAAGGGGGAACCTACACCCCAATGTTTATAGCAGAAATGCCCACAATAGCCAAATGATGGAAAGAGCCAGATGTCCACTGACAGATGAGGGGATAAAGATGTGAGATACACACACACACACACACACACACACACACACACACACACAAACACACACAATGGAATACTACTCCACCATAAAAAAAAAAAAGGAATCTTGCCTTTGCAACAATGTGGACAGAACTAGACAGTATTATGTTGAACGAAATAAGTCAATCAGAGAAAGACAATTATCATATCTCACTCATATGTGGAATTTAAGAAACAAAACAGAGGAACATAAGGGAAGGGAGGGAAAAAATAAAACAAGACGAAATCAGAGAGGGAGACAACCATAAGAGACTCTTAATTATAGGAAACAAACAGGGTTGCGGGAGGGGAGGGGTTTGGAGGGATGGAGTATCCAGGTGATGAACATTAAGGAGAGCATGTGATATAATGAGAGTGGGCATTATATAAGACAGATGAATCGCTGAACTCTACCTCTGAAACTAATAATACACTATATGTTAACAAAAAAAATTCATAGCAGAAACTTGAAGTTCAATGATCAAGATATTCTAGATGCAGAAATTATGTATTTCAAACAGAAAAGGGTTTCAAAATTTAACTAATATTCACTGAACAGGAGAAATAAGTGTTCTACCTCAAAATGCTGACTTTACAAAAGTGCTATAAAATTACTTTTTAATGTTTTTCTAAAGAAAAATCTAAACATTTATTAATTATAATTATTTATAATTAATTATTATTAAGACTTCTATGAAGGAATATTACAATTAACCCTTGCAGAAGTAAATATCTAGTTTCTTCTGTCCCTAATCTGATTGATCTGATCATAGTATTTATACATGCATTAGTGTGAGGTTTTCAAATAAATATCTGTGAATCATAAAAAAGTCCTGCATTTCTGAATTCAAATACTATTGACTCTAGATTTTCCTAATTATACACAGCAAATAAAAGATAAATATTCTCAAAGCACTTGCCACCCTTCTCTAATATCTTCTTATTCTGTTCTTCTCTGATATATGAATCTGTCTTTTGAAATACGCCTGACCACTGCATAAGAAAGGGATGCTCTTATTTCTTGGAAGATGAGGTTTGGATCTTTTCCAAGCTCTATGTGCCACAAAGAGGAGAGAAATCAAGCATAACAGGAATTAAGAAGTTTATGGAAAAGATGTTTTTTAAAGGTACAATTTATATTTAAAACCCCAAATCTCAATTCAGTATGAGATGTTAGGAAAAAGAAAATGATTGGACATGAACTGAGACTGATACACAAGAACAGCATTTTCAGACTTGACGGGGAAAAAAATGTGAAGTCTGTCAAGCAATAGAGAAATAAAACACAATTCAGCCATATATCAGGATACCCTATTTAATGACATGGGAAGATGTTCACATCGTACACAATGTTAAGTGAAAAGAACAGAATACTGTGCATACAGTTCTTGTCTCGGTTTCATACTGCACAAGTAGATTCACAGTGGATGGGTAACATTTCTTCTTTAAACATTGACACATTTCCCCAATTTCTATAGTGGGATTCTGCTCACAATTAATTACATGGAGGGGAAACGTTATAAAAATATTTAGGAAAACTTCTCCTCAAGTTCATTCTGCCAACCTCATCCTAGTCAAACTCCCTAAAGTGAAACTGTATAGTAAGAACCAATGTAGATCTGCAGAAATCAAGCCAAATCCCTTACTTTCCAGTAAGATTCAAGATCAGTTTGGATGCAGAATTGTAGAAGTAAGACTCTCACAGAATGAACAATCATTTTCTGTAACAGCTTAATTCTGATTATTGTGAAACACCATTTATAAGGTTAAAATAAAAAATAAAATAAAATAATAAGATATGCTCGCATCATAAATTTGATATTTAATTATTTTTTAAAAAATTTATTTAAGCGTGACAGAGAGAGAGAGACAGAGCATGCCAGCGTGCAAATGAGGGAAGGGGCAGAGGGACAGAATATCCAAGCAGACTCCCATGCTGAGCTCCGAGCCCGACATGGGGTTCCATCCTAGAAGCCATGAGATCGGGACCAAGAGTTGGTCACTTAACCGACTGAGCACCCAGGCATCTCTGATACTTAATTATTCTCTAGCGGGTTTCCTGTTATTTAGCATCTAGTTTGTTTAAAATGGAACAGAAGAATATGTATGTGACAAAGGCTTGCAATGACCCTTTCAAGCAATGAGGGTATCCCCTTGACACTTACAGGGACTGCCAGTCTATCCCTCAGATGGCCTCACTAATGCCTTCTGATTGGCTGCTGTTAATGGTCTTGCAGCATGAACATGCGTGACATTCTGGCGTCATTCTTCTGCAAGCATTTGCGGGCGGGCCTTATGCCTTGTTCATCTCTGCACCCCAGGAGATGACATGATTGTTTAATACAAAGTAAAGGTTCAAAAACTATTGGAAAAGTGAAGGAACTATAAGTTAACTATCATCCACATTGTATAAGAACATTATGCCTAGCTTGTTCTTTTCTCTATTCTCCCATCCAAGTGCTAACCAGGCCCGACTCTGCTTAGAGTCCAAGAACAGACAAGATCTGGCGTGTTCAGGTTGGTATGGCGGTAAACTCCTTTCTCTATTCTGTAGGTACTTTCACTGAAGCAGACAATCTTTCAGCCTAATCACTCTGTACTGTAAATCAGGAAGCTTATTTTTCTCATGGTAATATATTTATTTTGCCTCATGGTTTTGTTGAAATCTTTTCTTTTACCCCCATTGTTTCCTCTCAAGGTAACCAAATTTAAAAAATCCAGTCTTAAGCTAGCATCCCATAATATCGCTTCCTTATTTTTCCACAGTGTTCTTACTCTTTGAGGCTTTGTACTCTTTAGGAAACCAAGGAAAGCTATGGACCCTCTCTCCAGAAAAATGCACATACATAGAGTTTGTGAAATAAGCATACATTTTTTATATTTCTGGGGACTCACAGATTCTCATCAGGCCCATTCGAGGACTCTCAGGAGAAGAACTCTTGCCACACATGGCTTCTATGTTTTAGATCACTATTATACAAATGCTTATATGGATTTGTCACTTAGCAGGCTTTAAACATTATTTTTTCAAGATAACGCTTGCTGCCATAAAAATTAGACAGGGATAAACTGATACAACCGTTACTCACTCAGTAGATTTGTAACTGGAAGGTACATTAAATTACTTCAGGACCCATGGAATCACTTCTAAACAATGAACAGGACAGATGTGGGCCCTGCTGGCAAGAAGGTCTCAAGGTAAAAGAAGGGCTGAGAGTTTAACAAAAGGATACCAACATGACATTACTGAAGAGCTCGAGGCTGGAAGCAGGGACAGTGGTCAAAGCTGATGTGATAAACTAGACAAGAGAAGACGACAGACTGGTTTAGGATAGTGTTGGGCTAACAAAGGGGGAAAACTAACATGATCCAGAATCAGAAACATCAACAGGGATGGCTGTTAGATAGGAGTCAGAGATGATGCGGAGGTTCTGCCTTGAGCACACTAAGATGGGGAAACAGGAGAAGATGGTCTGGGAGAAAACAGATGGGTTCCCTGTCCTGCTGTAGGCCCTAGCTCATAGTCAGATGGATGAATGGGTGTGAGCTCAGCGAGATCGGTACACAGATGAGAGCTTTATTAGCCAGAACAAAAACTATGGAAAAGGGTATAGTTGCTCAGAGAGAGGTGAGCCCAGAATAGAAATCTGAAGGACCAAGCAGAGTCTAAAAGGGCAGGAAAGAGATCAGTGGAGAAAACAAGGAGAGTGTGGTTCCTCTACTGTTCAGATGTCACTATCATCTATTTTCCTAAAGGAAGTTTCTCTGAATTCTTTGGGCATCTTTAATCTTACAAATCGGTGGAGAATTGTATAAACAAAAATGTTTACAAACATTTTATAAGATGTTCTTTCTATAAATCAAAATCAATATGTGTTTATGGTACATATTAAAAACATTAAATAAATATAAAGGAAGCTTGGGAATAAGTTAGGTGGTTATCAGGTAACAATCGATGCTTTCCACATAATACTATATCTTTAAAACCATTAAGACAACAGAAACGTGAAGTAAAACTATTATATCATATTTCTAAAACATAATAGCTTTGTATACATATTAAAATTTATGAGGTATTTTGACCACAATCCTATTTAATTCTTACACAGAAGCCATAATTAAAGTACAGAGGAATTTTTATCTCCCTTCTGCCAATCAAGAAATCAACACTCAGAGAGGTAAAGGGGCTCTCCCAAAACCACAGTCTAGAGAATGGCAGAGCAATTCCTACTAGGCCATGATGCTCTCATGTAGTTTAATATCATATGGGAAAAGAATTTCCTAACTCTCTTGAGTTTCAAGTATAAGCTTCGAGTAAGTGTGTGTGTGAGAGAGGAACAAACACTGCTCTTAAACACTGCACCATTATGCCACTACTTTTCCCTGGGCTAGCTGGATAGAGACACTGCTCCAAGTGGCCGAGGCTAGACCAGCAGTGCAGTAAGCATCAGACTCACCTAATCTGCTGCGTCTAATCTCCTCTGGTGAGACGGGCCGCAGCTTTCTTTCTGCTTTGATTTCTTCTAAGATTCTTTCATGGAGGCTCCGTGGCCGTGGTGGAGTGGGTTTCAGTTTTCTGGCTGAGACCTTAGAGGGGAAAAAAAAGTCATGGCTATAGACTTCAGTAGTTGTCCTTAAATAATTCTTACTGAAGTCCATTCCTATAGTACAGTACTATGAAATTGTATTTCATTGATTGCAACACTGTTTGATAAAAGACTAAGCAATAGGGAGATTACTGGATCTCAAAGAAACTTAGTCATATGCGCTCAACCAATTGTAAGGAGTCCGTTTCGCTGAAGTTATAATTATGTTCACAACAGGCTACCAGGATAGGCAATCAACTGGAATGTAACCTATACTTATTACTATTACTGTTTTTAAAAGTAACATTTTTGAATAAATCATCACAACCCTCTTAGATTGCTATTATTATCTTCTTTCTATAGTTGAAGAAATAAAAGCTCAGAGAGGCTGATTAATTTACTCAGGGACATGTGGCTACTAAACTGCACCACAAGTCAGGTTGTTTTGAGTTAAAACATCCTAAAACAGCCTTGTATTGAATAATTTCAAGTATTTTTTCTGTGACTGAAGAATATAACTTACAGTTAGACTTCATCATTCTGAGAATAAAAGATTGGTGTAGAAACTACCTCGAGAGCTGAGTTCAAGAGACCACATCCTAGAGGAGAGCACATTGCTACAAGACCTCCAACCAAGGGGAACACTCAGATCACATACCGGATTTAAAGGGGGTCTTGATCTGATGAAGTCCAGGATGATTTCATGAGCACTTTTTTTTAACCGAGGGGGAATATCACCGTTGACCTGAAATGAGACAAAAAGTACAAGATTCATATGACTATAGGATTATCATTATAAGTTTCTGGGTACAGCTCTTACCTACTGGAAGTGTACTTTGGCTCTACCAAAGATGTGTTCTGAATCAATAAAATGGAGAATAAATAGCTGAGTGATTCAGAGCAAAAACAACCATGCAGAGCTGAAGAAAATACAAGTTCATAAAGTGAATCATTAGTTCTACCACTTGGGGGAAATGTATATTAGATGCATCCTTTCCTACAAAAAGTTTCTAAAATTATGAATATGAACGGAATAAATAATATTACACTTATTATTTTATAACTTATAAAGCCTTTTACTTCTTACTTTCATCCTTGTACAAAACCTAGGAAGGACTGGTGACACGAGTCATATATTGTAGATAAAACTCAGGCTCATGTCAAGGAGGGTATCTGCCTCATTCACAAAATTAGTAAGTTCAAGAGTTTTGGTAGAGCCCTCATCTGTCTCTGACTCCTGCTGTAACGTACTCTCTTTTTATAGCAATGTGTTAGAAATTTTTACAAGCAATTTAAGAAAACCTCAGAAATCCACAAAAATGACAATCTAAACTCACATTTTACCACCCCAGAAGGCACAGTTGTGACCATTTTGTCCCATTTATTTCCCAGTCTTAATGTGAAAAAAATAGAACCTGCTAGGTATTTTCTGTCATGCTCCTCATGAAAGATGGATGAAAAAATGTTAACAAGTTAATAAATTTTTAAAAATGACAAATACCTAATACTTCTTAAAATCCAGAAATTAGCATATTATTTTTATTAATGCACTGCCTGAAAAATCTCCTTTCCCCCTCTACTTGGGAGACCTACTCTTTGATTACCCCACAATATTCTAATAACTTTATATTAATTTTGTTGGAGAGAAGAAAAGGATAGTTTGGTTATTCCTCTTGCATTGACAGTTGACTTTATTTTGATAAGTTAGAAATGTTTATGCTTCACAACTTATTATTGGAAATGTCATTTAAATTTTAGAATTATTGTAAAATTCAATAAAGTCTTTTTCAAGTTTTTCTTAAAGATTTATTTATTTATTTGAGAGAAAGAGAGAGTAAGAGCATGGTGGGTGGGGGCAGAGAGAGAAGCAGACCCCCTAACTGAGCAAGGAGCCTCACGCAGAGCTTGATCCTAGAACCCTGAGATCATGACCTCAGCCGAAGGCAGACACTTAACCAAATGAGCCACCCAGGCACTCCTCAGGTATTTTTGTAAGACTGTAAGATTTCAGGGTGTGGGTGGTTTTTTTGTGTACTCATCAACCTTAAATACTACTTTAATTGCTCACAAGTCATTAATCAGTTGGTTATTCCTCACTGCAGCTCTATGAGTTTTGATTTTTTGTCCATGTTGCTATTTTGTGTCTGCTGACAAATAACATTAAATATATATTTTTAAAAAGGGTCTGAACTGTCACTCCCAAGCACAGTCTGCTCCCCAAATGCGACCCCCTCTATCTGAGTTCAGTGTGTGCGCCAACACTGCTGTGACCTACATCCACTCTCTTCTTCCCTGGGCCACACCTCCTACCCCTGAATGAAGCCAGGATGGCCCATGGAAAGATTTAGGAGGAAAAGTTGCTTGAACTGCTAGTACTTGGCTTAAGGAGGGCATGTCTGCTAGCAGCCGACCTGGAGGCCTAATGTGACACGACAACAACCCCCTACCTATGGATTTGGTAGTACAAAAGATTTTTTACAAAATCATTGTATGGAACAACTCTTGAACAGGATAATATATATCTTTCTAGCCATTTTTCACATGATTTTACTTCAATGTTTACTTTCCCTCACAATAGCAGTGTTTAGGGCACTGGTTTAAATAAGGCTAGGGTTGTAAATCCTGTTCCCCAAACAAGCACGTTAAGTTCAGTTTCCACACTGGCCAGAAACTATCCTGGATCCCAATTACAAAATGTGCGTCAGTGCTCATGAGGTAGATGGCAGAACAGTGTGGATGTGAGTCAGTGAAAGTCCTCACCAGGAGGAAAATGTAACTTTGTGCTAATACCATTGTGCTGCTGACTCAATGAAATTATTTTCCTATAAATACACAACACATACTGAAACAAGCTCTCTGAATTGCAATGATAAATGATTCCTGCGTGAACATAAATAGTGGAGCCACAAGTAAATAAGACATTTATACAACTCGATCCCATATCTGAGCCACAATGCCTTAACTTCTAAATAAAAGATGTCGTTTCTACATCTTCATTTTTAAAAGGTGAGTTATTTGAAGCTATCTGATGGGATTAAAGTATTTCACTCAGACATTTTGAAAAAAGCCAACCGAAATGTTTTACACGTCTATAACTTAATATCCTGAATAATATCCAGTATGGCTAAGCCACCAATTTCCAACATCAGCACAATGTACCCAAAACAGAGGATAACTATAGTATGGTTATGGAGTTTAAACCTGAGGATTAAATTAAAACATCTCAGCACAGTACTTCAGGTACAGATAGACCATCTTTGAAAAGTTTCTGTGTTTACTCTTTATAAAAATATTTGTTTTTAAAGAAATTAGAAAGTAGCATTATACTGATAAGAATAAAAATATTCTTTTAACACCCAGTTTTTGAAGATCAAATGAGTAGTTGAATTTGCACTCTCATTTATCAAGTACATTTATATAATAAAGGAATTAATAAGAATTTTAGCTTTTTAGATTGAAATCTTGCAAACTTCCCCGTATGAACTTGCTCACACTGGAACCTCCATCTGCCCAGCTCCTTGCACAGGGGCTTAGTATACTTACTTAAGTGAACTGCATGGATTTAACCAGAGAAAGACATGAAAGGAAAACAACAGTGGCTACCACGAAGCAGAAACATCTATCCATTTGTCTTCATTTCCTACCCACAAGCTCTAAGTTAAAAAACTGTATTATTTATATCTAAATAGATTAAATGGCAAGCAGATGCATCGCTGGTAATTATTACAAAGAACACATTTATAAATTGTGTTTATAATCACCTGTCATTCCGAAGCTCACAGAACCTTCAACAAATAAAAACCTTAAATAACTTGAGCCTTGAAAAAACTTTTTTCTTCTATTTTTGTCTTAAGTAAAGCAGAACCACTAATGATGACATAAGATCACAACTAAAACTGTACAAAGCCGATCTAAAGTTTACGGATTAATATTGGGCCCCAATCAGATTTCCTTTTTCCCTCAGCCTTACTGAGGTTGAATTGACAAAGAAAAATTATGCATATTTAAAGTGTATGGCATGATTATTTGATATGTGTATATGCATTGTGAAATGCTTGCCTCAACCAAGCTAATTAACACATCCAACACCTCACACAGTTACTGTTCTTTTTTTTTTTTTTTTTTTTGGTGGGGACACTTAAGATATATGCTCTTAGCATATTTCAAGTACACAATATAGTGTTATTAACTACAATCACCATGCTGTGTCCCTAGAACTTATTCATCTTATAACTGAAACATGTGACCTTTGACCAACATTTAACCAATATCTCTCCAGTTCCCCCATCCCTGAGCCCCTGGAAACCTACTGTCGTACTCTTAGCTTCCATGAGTTTGCCTTCCTAAAGTTCACCATACAAGCGAGGTCACACAGTATTTATCTTTGTGTGCCCAGCTTATTTCACCTAGCATGATGTCCTCCAGGTTCATCCATGTTGTTAAATGGCAGGATCTTCTTCCGTTTTAAGACTGAATACTATTCCACTGTAGATGCATACACATTTTCTTTATCCATTCATCTGTTGACATTTAACCTGTTTCCATAACTTGGCTGTTGTGAATAATGCCGTGACCCACATTGGAGTGCAGATATCTCTTTGAGACCCTGCTTTAATTTCCTTGAGATGAAGACCTAGTCTATGTCTAATATTTTAGCCTATCCTCTTCCCACGTTTCAGTAGTTACAGTACTAAAGTGGAAAACATACTCTATATCCAGTCTCCACCTCATTTGGGCTTTATTTTATAATCAGACTAGTCAGCAGTGTTTCTCTATGCTCTGAGCTTCTTAGAAAACTCAGTAAAAATCCTTTTCACTCTTTTCTTAAAATTTTATAGAAAACAGGTTGTCTCAACCATAAGAGACTCTTAATCTCACAAAACAAACTGAGGGTTGCTGGGGGGAGGGGGTTAGGGAGAGGGTGGTTGGATTATGGACATTGGGGAGGGTATGTGCTGTGGTGAGTGCTGTGACATGTGTAAGCCTGACAATTCACAGACCTGTACCCCTGGGGCTAATAATACATTATATGTTAATAAAAAATAAAAAATTAAATTTAAAAAATGTCCAAAAAAACCCCATAAAGGGCATTAAAAAAAAACAGGCTGTCTCACTTTTTAAAACAAGTACATGTATTACATGTATACTACACATATATATGTACATGTAAAATGCCCCAAATGCTATTGAGTTGATGGCAGAACTGAGATTCAAACATGTTACCCTATTTCCAGAGTCACTGCTCTTAAGCATCATATACATTGTCTAAAACACATTTAAAAAGATGTTTGATCTTACTCATAAAGAAATGGAAATTAAATGAGATCAGACCTGTAAAACTGGTAGATAAAAGTTCAAGAGTGTAAGACAGCATTAGTGAAGAATACAGAAAAGGCATTCCTACACACTTATAAAAGGAATGGTTTTTTTGAATTAAAAAAAATATACTAATGGAATCCTATGTAGGGTTTTTTTGGGTTTGACTTTTATTGCTCACCATTATGTCTCAGAGATTCAATTACACTGTGGCATGTAGGAGAAATTAATTTCCTTGCTCTTATTCTATTTATTTGTTCATAATTTACTTATTTCACCATTGGTAGACACTGGTTACCTCTACATTATGGTACTGCAAAAATGCTACTTAGTATATTCTTGTATAACTCTTCTGGAGCACAATGTACATACCTGTCCTATTTAAAGAAATCTCTGCCTACCTCAAGGTCGTAAAGGTGTTCTCCTGTG